TCTTCCTGTCACTGCTTGCTTAGATTTGCTCTCCAGAAAACTCGGGGGCCTTGCAGGAAAGGTGCATTTAATCTGAGATTATGTGATACTGGACTTGCACACAGGTGGACTCCATCCTTCTGCACTGGGGCTTATTTAGGCATATTGCTGCAGAGGAGGAGAATCTCCTTGCAACTCACTAATTGCAATTTGTTTTTCTTCACTTTTGTGTCACGGTGAAACTATTTTGCGCATTCCCAGTGTTGAGGATCTTGAGAGCATCAAGAAGTCACAATGCCAGTAAATCCCATTTCAATGCCAGGCTTTTAATCCAACAAAGTGTGACAAATTCAGAGGCGGCAGTGGGAATACTTCCACAAGGCACGGTACCTGAATTTTAAAGATCTGGTCCCACTTATTACATCCAAACCTACAAAGGTTCGGGTGATCTGGTTGAAAGGGGAGGTCTAAACAAGCAGCGGGACGTTGTCTGTGATGAAACCGGAGATGCCTCTTTACAAACATGCTCTCCTACGTAGGTCATACACAGGTGTGGAAGCATCAGAGAGCCAGTTTGTGGTTTAGCAGAGCCCTGGTCTAATTGGAGCCAGGTACAGCAGAGTGCCCAGAAGTGCAGAGATGACTTTCAGGAATGTGTCTCCTTTGTATAGGTACAATGTCTGTGTCTCTGTGTCTGTCTCTGTCTGTCTGTCGCTTTTCTAACCCATCCACCACTAGCTTGCAATGAAAACGATAAGCTAAAGCAACACAGCATCCAACTAAGGTAATAAAACCCCAGTTAAAATCATCTAAACATTAATATGATGGGAAAATGAAGGTTTTCGTCTGATGTTGAAAAGAATGTGACGTCGGCACCAGGTGAACCTCTCTGGGGAGAATAGTCAGGGTGCCAACACAGACAAGGACTTCCTCTGGGTACTTTCCCTCCTAAACTCCTTCAGGGAGGGCTCCCGGAGCTGGACTTCCGCCTCAGATCTCAAGGGGCAGAGGGCACATAGGGGAGAAGGCGCTCCTTCAGGAATCCAGGTCCGAAGATATTTAGGGCTTTACAGGTCATCACCAGCACCTTAAATTGGGCCCGGACTTCAATTGGCAGCCAATGTAACTGATAGAGGACTGGCGCTATATGTACCTGCTGGTCCCTGTCAACGTCCTGGCAGCTCCATTCTGAACCAACTGAACTACCCAGACCGTCTTCAAGGGCAGCCCCACAGAGAGCGCTTTGCAGTAATCCATTCGGGATGTTACTACAGCATGGGTCACCTTGCTAGGCACAGTTGATGGCTCAGCCAAAGCTGAAGGAAAGCGCTCCGCGCCACCGCTGCCACCTGGGGCTCCAGGCACAGCTCTGGGTTGAGGAGCACTCCCAAGCTGCGGACCCTGTCCTTTAGAGGGAGTGCAACCCCATCCAGGACAGGGTGGAAATCACTTACCGGGAAGGCTGAACCTCCCACCAACAGGACCTCTGTCTTGTCCGGATTGAGCCTGTTTATTGGCCCTCATCCAGCCCATGACCCTGGCCAGACACCGGTGAAGGTCAGTCCTGTCGGTGGGCAGTTTTCCAAACTAAGTTCTTGTTCTCTCCGCAATTGTGCACACACAACCCAACCCTCTCTTGGCTTTCCCCAGAGACTGCTGATTAAACAGCCTGTCTGGGTTGGGTGTCAGGCAGCAGAAGCCTTTTCTTTCTTGCCGTTGAGTCAGCAATGCCTGCTAATTTAGTGCGGGCTGCCTGTGGACCTACCGGTCTTCTTTCTGCCTTCACGCCCTCCCCACTCCAAAGCTTGCTTGCATGGGCTGAGACTCTGCGGATTTCTCCGGAGCCCGGCTTCCACAAGATACCGCTGCACCAGCGCCTCCTGCCGTCTTCATACGGCCAATACAGCCAAAGGTTTCCTTCGGTTGCTTCTCCAGGGATGCACGAAACGGGCTGCCATCATTTGCCGCTGCAACACCCCATGCCTGCCTCGCAGCACTTCCTGTGACTTCGCCACGGAATTCTTGTGGCGTTGCCATGAGGCATGGCTTTCCCTTCCCTGGCATTAAGGTATTCGCTAGCTTGCTGCTCTGCCAAAGTTAGACAGCTCCCAATCACCAGTCTCACCAATCCAGAATTACAGGAAAAGGGGTTAAGATCCGTCAGGTTTCGGGTTGATACAGATACCAAACAGTTGACCGTTAAAGATTGTGGCAACTCTCAGCAGGAGAAGAGTGCAAAGTACGAATCATCTGTGACGTGGGCAGTTGGCATTGGCTTCTCTTCCCTCCCTCCTTTGTCCCAAAATAAGTCACTTTTTGCAAATTGGGGGCATCATGCAGTAACGCAAAGGGGAACTTATTTAAAACTTGCGTATGCCATCCCTTCTGCCTGGCATCTAAGGACAGCTCACAATCCATCAGAATTCCCAGTAAACCTGCCAAGTCTGTGAACACAATTGCCATGGCACTGTGAGTGCCTTCCACTATCAAAATGGCATTTACGTTGGCATCCGTAACTCATCAGATACTGCCTTAGACACGGGGTGAATCTACGGCTGATTGTACATGGCCAGTTTAGGGGCTTCTGAAAACCTGGACTCACTTTAGGTATGCCCGTGGAATCGGAAGGCAGCAGACACCCTAGCTAAACAAAATAGGTTTTCTTCTGTGTAGACTCCACCACATTCAGAACTGGTCTCTGTGAGTGTTCAGAAGCATGGAATAAAAATCAAGCCAGCCACACTTACAAAAACTCCTGTTAAAGGTTTATTGCAGTAATACAATAATTATTTTTTAAAAAAACCACATACCTGTGTTTACTCAGAACCCTATTAATCTGAGAGTGGCACTGTGGGACCAAGATCTCTTCGCTGGGCATCTGAGACTCCTGGCTGTAAACGTGCCATCCTGCTGCCAGAGATCCCAGCCAGGGTTCCCGCAAAATGCACAACTGGCTGCATTCTCTGCCATATTAAGCAAAACAATCAACTTTTCTCAATTGCACTAGGTTTTGGATGCACGCACACACGCACGCACGCACTCCCAATTCCTCTAGATAGCTGTATGTGTGTAAAAACATTTCTTTTGTTTAAAAATAAACCAAAAAAGGCATTACAAAAGGATCCTCTTGAAAGGATGTGACACCCTATCCTAACACAGTCCGGGGGACGTGACTCCCTTGGCTGACGGAGCGGATGCTATGCTACTGCAGAAAGAAGGTGCCGTCTTAAGACGAGGACAACGGAAAAGGACTCGCGGCTTCATCAGCATTTCCATGCATTTGCCGCAGTTTACCGGGGTTGTAGGGAAAACGGTTTCTTAGTGTGTGTATTAGGATTTCTTTCCTTCTTTTTAAACCAAACCATAAATAAGCAGCAGAAAGGTTTGTACATACACAACAAAAATGGGGAGAAAGACACACACAAAAATATTTACATGGGGAAGGGGCTGGCGTGGAGGAACGCGATTCTGCTCCTCTAGCAGTATGAGCCCCGACATAAAGCAGCCCATGTCCTCCGCGACTCATAAAGTGCGTTTCTTCGAAGAACCTTCCTTCCCATGACAACGCCCTCCAGGACAAAATCCCGGGCCAGGCACCCTGCCCCCCCCCCTTGACCTCCACTCTCGCAGCTCAACGCAGCCTCTCCGGTGCCTGCAGCGATGCAGGCTGGACCGGTATCGATATTCTCCCGGATTCGTCCCTGGGCTGAGAAATCTGGCCCAGTGGGCTTTACAGAACACTGAACAAGGGGGATCTTTGGTTTCAGAACAGAAATGGATGGAGCTGAGGCCTCGCCCAGCCCTGAAGGGCTCTGTTTGGCCCTGGCCAGGCCTAGTTGCTTAGACCTTAGGGACCCCTCCTGCACTCCTGCCGGGCCAAGTGGGACAGCCTACCGAGGGCGCTGCAGAACCGACTGGTCCAGCGCCAATTCCAACGGCAAGCCACAGGCGTGCATCACACCCACCCTGCGAGGATGGCCCCATGCGGGACTCTCCGCAGTGGGGGAGCCGTGCTTGCCCGAGTTTTGGCGAGGCGGGGGGCAGGGCTCCTCCGCAGAAAGGATACGCGGCCTGAGAGCACCGCAAGCCCAACTTCAGTTGGCACTGAGGCGAAAGAGCATCTGAGACGTGTGCTGCCAGGATGCGTGGCCAATGCTTCTGGCCAATGGCGGGGGGGTCAACCGGAGCCGGGGCGGCGGCAACAGGGGAAGAGTGGAGAGAGCCAGGGTCATCACGAAGGAGCACGGACGGGCTGCCCTGCTAGTGCCAAGCCTTTCTCCAGCCGGTGCCCTTCAGGCGAGCTTCACTACCAGCCCCGTAAGCCCACAGCCAGCTGTGGAATTGTGGGTACGGCAGTGCAGTACACCTGGAGAACAGCAGACTGGGGAAGGACGCGAACTGGCGTGCAACGTGGAGGGTGCTTCCTCCGGACGCGGGAGACTGGCCCCTGCTGCCCCAGCTCAGCAGCTCTGCGGGGATGAACATGCCCACAATGCAGGGGGCACAGGCACCCCGAAGCCCGACTTACAGGAGCGCCGCTGCCGTGACTGGAAGGGGCGACCGGAGGCTGCCCGCCTGCACGGAGGCCTCAGCCTGGCGCTGCCCGCTGGCCTGCCCATCCTATGAACCAACTGGGCAGCTTGGCAAGTGTTTGAACCGACCAAAAACGGAAGCTGAAGCGAGGGCTTCCAGAGGAGGGTGGGCCAAGCAGGCGGGACTGTGATCCTGGCAGGCGAGTCACTCGCTGGAGCAGCCCTGCCTGCCTGACTTCCTGGGTGAACCGTGTGCCATCCAAGAGGCCAAACTGAGTAGAGGAGGGGGAGGGTTCCTTGGGAATTAAATGGGGGGGGGGACAAGCCTTGCTCCCCTGCCCCAGATGCACCAGCCGTCCAGAAGCACATGGGACAGGTAAAGTACACAGCTGAAGTGCAAAAGAGGCGTGCCTTCTCTTCTTGCGAGAGGGGATTCGCGAAAAGGACAAATGCTGGGAGGGCTGAGCGACTGCTCCGTATCGGCAAGATCTTATAGTCCGGCCTTCCTTTGGTGTCTGAGAGCCAGAACAAAGAGCGTGGGAAGCCAGCGCGGCCTGGCACGGAAAACATCCCGAGCAATCTACGCCTGAAAGCACACAGTGTGCCCACGCGAGAATCCCGTTTTCTCTAAAAAGTAAAAAATGAAAATAAAATAAGATCCGCTGAGATTGAAGAACCATGATTCTGCACACTAAAATTACGGCAACAGAGATCTGAAAACACGTAAGATGCACCGTTTGCGCACCGACAGAAGGCTCTTGAAATGTGCATTTGTGCCATCCGACAGACCGGTGCGTTTTGTGAGGAGCAACAGGGCAAGACGAAGAGACCCCAGAACCCTGTGAGAAAATGACTGACCGGCGTGGGCTGAGCGCGTGGGCCGGATGGCTTCCTTTCACGGTTCTCGTTCTCTCGCCGTGCTTTGGCCTGCTCCTCCACGCGGGAGGCATGGGTGCCAGTTCCACGGCAGGCTTTGAAAAGCGCAGCAGCCGGCCCTTAGCCAACACGGCTGGTGCCAGCCCGAAGCACCGGGGGCAGGCGCAACCAGAAGTCCGACCCTTCCCGTTCCAGGCACTACGGAACTGGGCGGGTTGCGCCCGCCGCCGCTGTGGTGGGGGGTCCCGCAGAAGGTCCGGCCACACCTCAGCGGTGCCCGGTGTACGCCTTGAGCCACGAGGTCACGGAGGCCGCTGCGGAGGAGATCATGCCCCCGGCGCTGCTGCTGGCGGCCGGGTGGGAGGCCTGCCCGCCCTGGCTCTGCAGCATCTCCGCCGTCTGCGAGGGGATGTCGCAGAAGCGAGGGCTGGGCAGGTTCTCCCAGTCCGTCCCGAGGTCCGTCTCTTCGTCGCTGAGGTGCTCGTCCCCGCTCTCGTCCGTCTCGCTGGCGCCGCTCGGATCCACAAACTCCATGGAGTCTTCCAGATCGGCGCTGACCTCAAACGGCCCAGACCTGGGGGAGGAAACAGAACGCTGCGGTCAGACCGGACTCTCTGCGGCTGCAGCGGGAGATCACGGAGGTGGTGACCAGCCCTGCAAAGACCGAGCCGAGAAGGGTCCAGCAGAGTGGGTCACCTACATCGAAGCCTCGGAAGGCCGTGCCCCGGGAGGAGGAAACCCTGGGTGGGCAAGGACGGACTTCTGGATGGACCAGCAGGGCCAGTCTTCTGGGAAAGAGCCGGCAAGCGGCAAGCCCACACCGAACTCAGAACACAGAGTGTGCATGGTATCCAGAGATACCATAAAACATGGAGCCAATTTCAATCCTTCATTGTGGCGAAGTCAGTCTGGAAGACTTGCAAGCCGCCGGCGGAAGCCAGTAGCTGCTGCTCCAGTGAGAAGTCTGCCTCTGGCTGCAGGGCTGGGTTCGTTTTCCCCAGACTGTGGGGAGCGTCTTCCAGGTGGAGCAGAGGCTGCGGAGCTGGGTGGGCCAGTGCATGGCCCTCTCGTGGCCAAACCTGGCTTCCTGAGCTACCATCTGTGCACTCATCAAGGCTCCTGCACCCGCCGCTGCTGAGGGAAAGCCGTGGCCAAGAAAAAGGTCTGGGAGGAGGCCGGGGGGAGGTGCAGGAAGGCGAAAAGGACAAAGCGATTCAGGAGACAATGCTGTCTCTTACCTTCCCAAATGCTCTGTCTCTGGGCTGACCAGGTACATCAGGTTCCTGAGTGTATGCAGAGGGTGCAGGAGATCTAAGTTTACGTGCTAGAAGAGCAAGAAGGAGGAAGCGGAGGATCAGTGAGGCTGGACTGCCAAAGGTGAGGAGGAGCAAATGAGGAGGAAAAACAAAAGGGAACATTCCCCATACCTGAGAAAAGCAAAGGTAAAGGATGTTGGCGTTCAGCTTTTTCACTGCCCAGGTGAATTTCCGCCTGCTGAGATTTTCTCCACAGAACTCACTGCAAGACACATTTGGACGCAGGCGTTACGCACCAGCTCGAGGCAAGCGGCAAGTCCTGCTTCCGCTCTGTGGTCCCAGCAAACTTCACTGGGCAAGGCGGCCGCGGTTGGCCAGACCGACTGGCAGGAGAGGGTCCGTCTCACGGTGCCCTTGCAGCCGCCCCTGGGAGGACGGAGCTGCCCCACATGCACCCGGGGTAACGAGCATCGTGGGAAGGCGGCCGTCACGCCACCCGGTCTCTGCTCTCCAGACCCGTGAGCACAGCCTGTGGGGGTGGGAGCCCTCCCACGCTGCCGTCACGAAAGGCAAGTCCGCAGACTGCGCACGACCCCGTGCTGAGCACCCTTCTTTTGAGTGGAAAGGCAGGGCGGAAATCCGCTCCGCAACCCAACCCAACGGTACGCTCGAACTGCACTCGCTTGGTCAGCTCAAAAATGTGAGCGCTTCTGCACAGGGGCCACCTGCGACAGGGCCCCGCTGAGCCGCCCTACACAAGGAAGTGGCTTACAGCGGCCTTCCCCAGGCCAGCGCCCTCCAGGCGAACCTCCAGGCTGCGCCCACACACACGGAGACACCCCGGATCTGGCTCCGCGTCTCTCCGGGTCAGAGGCACAAGGCGCCGTGCTCCCCGCGCCCAGGCGCCCTCTGGTACCTGTTGCTCAGCTTCTTGGGCAGGTTCACGTCGAGTATGTGTGCCAAGATGCTGACGAGCTGAGTTGCATAGCACAGCGCTGCACTGATGGTGTATGCAGGGTTGTTGTGCTCCATGTCTGGAACGGAAGCGAGGGGACCGTGGGAGCAGGAAAAGGACTTCCCGAGGAGCTTGTCGCCTTGGCATCTCACCACACAGGCGTCAGACCAAGCCCTCGGCAGCGACGGGAGGAAGCCGGCTGCCCTCTCCTCTCCACACACCACGGGACCGACGCGGGGGCGCCCTGGGCCGCCCTATGCTGCCCGCCCCCGCCCCACCGGGGTCCACGGCCGCAGAGGGCCCTGAAGCCCCACCCACCCAGCAAGCAGGCAGAGCTGCAGGTTCTCTGCCCTCCTTATGGAGAGGAAGAAAGGCAGATGTGCCCTGCCGAGAAAAACCGGGCGTTTTACAACCTGCCGCTGAGCAGACCGCGTCATTCCTCTTATTCTGCAATACTAAAACGCGGCTTGTGAGGAGGAAAGGGCCGGGGCGAGGGAAGGCGCAAGAGAACCCCAGCCCAGGGAAACTTCAGCCAGCCTCCCTGAGACTCTCGCTGGCCAGGCCACCTGACTGGCAAGCGTATCTTGATAGCCCTGGTGGCCAGAAAATTGCTTTCATTCTCTGCAAGGGAGAGCGGGGCCATGATGCTGAGGAAGCGAACTCTGGTGGCTCGCACTGTATGGGGAGCTGAGCCAGACCACAGGTGGTCCATCTGGCCCCGTATTACAGACACGGACCGGCAGCCGAGGCCCTCTGGGGTCCAGTGCTTTGCTAGCTGCCTGCGGCACTTCCGCACTCTCCCCCCGCAGCGCCACAGGCAGCACACAGCACCCCGTCGCGTCTCCTCCTTCCTCGGCACCAGGAACCCGGGCTGGGCGATGCGGCCGGCGTCTGTCCGCATGCCGATCCAGAGCGAGGCATGCAGGAGGCGCTGCTCCCGAGCACACGGGCCCCCAGACAGGGCCCCGCAGGTGCGTGCTGCCCCGAGCCCTCACCTGGTCCTTGAGTGGTTTTCTTCTCTTCCACCCAGTTGTAGTAGGCGGAATAATCTCCGTTGTTGGGGAGGGTTATCCAAGGCCCAGCGATGCCGATGCTGGTGTCTCCGTTGTGGTCGTCGCACACCCATCGCCCGGACAGGTAGGTGGTCCGCCTGGCCTCCGCAAGCTTGCTCACGGTGCTCGACGTCATGGCACTGTCGCTCTCGGAGGCCCCGGCGTCCGCGGGGTCCCTGGAGGAGATGCAAGGACACGGACTCTCAGAAGCAGGCGTGGGTTGGGCCCAGCAGCTTCCTGTGGAAGGGGGACCCGAATTTGGGCTTCCCGGGGCTGCTGCTGCAATCTGCTGTAGAGCAGGGGAAGACGGGGCCCTCCAGATTTTAGAGGGCCACAGGTGGGATGTGCCCAGGAGGATGTGCCGAAGGAGAGTAAGGAAAAGGAAATACAGTCTCCCTAGACCACCAGGAGAGAACAAACCAGCCCACGAAGCTGAACGAGAACTGGATTAAGCAACCTTCCTGGGTCACATGAAGACCGCTGCCCAGCAGGGACAACCGGAGCAGCAGCGGGGCACAGCAAGGGGTGCCGTTCCCTTGACCATTCCTTGCCTGTGCCCCCCAGCTGAGGAATTCTAGCCCAGGGGGCCCCTTTGGGTGTCACCCCTTTGGCAAGGATGGGGCTCCAACGCTCGGGCGAGGGGTCGTGGGTGGAAGAGCAAAGCCAGTTCCTGGGCCCTCCTGCAGAGGGGCAGGGGGCAGCCGAGGAAGCCTGGCTGAGAGACGCGGGCCATGCAGCCCGCAGGGGAGTGGGTGCTCCCGGTCTGGCAGGCGCCTTTGCAAACTGGCGCCTCCCTCTCTGTGCACCGCAGGGCCGCTGCTTCCGAAGACTCGATCTCTTTGTGGACTGAAACCCTCCGAGTGCTGCCCAGTGTCGGGGCTGAATCACCGCACCCAGCAAGGCTGGGTCTGGCTGCAAACGTTTCAGTACGCGCTTCGCTTTGGAGCCACTGCTGGGATTCACCCAAGCTTAATGCTGGCAGGCGGTTAGTGGACAGATCTCTGCTACTGAGGCAGCTTCTGTCCTGCACATACTGCTGCTTTCTTCAGAAGTGGAAGAGGCCATCTCTGCAAGTTCTCCCAGAAGCCAGCAAAGCTCCAGAGGAATTCTGGGTCTGGGCAACAGCCAGCCCCAGGCCGTGCTTGGGGGGCTGGCGTGCTGCTCTTGCTGGCCTGCCGAGCCAGGCCCATCTGTTCCCCGGCCCGTCTGCCACTTTCCCCAAGTTTCTCTGCATGTGGTCCACCCAGCCTCCCCCCACTCCTCCAACCAGGATTTTGCTCTGGACTGACCCTGCTGTTCCCGCACACACCGTGCTCTTTGGAACCAACTCCCAACCTTGCACTGGTCGCGCCTTCCTACCTCGTGTCGATCTTGACCTCCTCAATCGGGAAGATGACAGAGGTGAGTTCCAGGACGTGCGCCCGCCGGAGGTTTGCCAGGTGCTCGCGCTGGTTCCTCAAGTCGTGGGCCTTCTTCTCCACCAGCTCGCCAAGTCTGCGGTTGTGCCGCTGGATCTTCTCCTCCTTCTCCTGGTGGCGCTGGGCCCTGCGGTAGAGCTTCTGGTTCTCGTCCTTCATTCTGAGCAGCCACTCGGCGTCTAGGTCAGCAAGGGCAGGGATGAGCTCCAGAGCTGCTGCTGCTGCTTCCCGAAAGCCGCTATCCGCACGGCTCTGCTCTTGGCCGCTTCGTACGACAGCCGAGTCTGGCGGTGCTCTCTGAGCCATCTGAGTTGCTTGACACTCAGATGCCTCCGAGCGCCTCCGACCTGCTTTGGCTGGGGGCCCAGCTACATCATCCGGGCAGGGATGGCCCTGCTTCAGTCACCTGCGCTCTGCAGGTCTCCCAGGTAGGTAACCGCAGTGCACGCCAGGTGGGGCTGCTCTCGAAGACGGTTCGGAGGCTTCAGCTGCTGCACACTGCAGACGCTGGACTGATACTGGGCCTAATATCAGCAGGTAACACTAGTCCTGGCCCACTAGTCCTGGCCCCTGGTTCGACACTATAGAGCCTGACATGGCTTTGGGCTGCGGTACCTGACAGAGCGCCTCTCCAAACCAAATCCCCAGACCCAGACCCGAATCTCCCCAGACACTGCAATAGACCCCGAGGCCTTTCTCCGAGGGCCAGCTCTGAGAGGCTGGACGGGCAGCAGCAAAGGGACTGGCCTTCTCAGTAGCTGCCCCGACTGTGGAAGGATCTTCCCGCTGAGACCCACCTGGCGCCAACGGTTACCTTTAAGACGCCAGGTTAAGACAGCGGTTTTCTCCAAGGGATTCAGTAGCATTTAATGGCCTTATGTTGGCCGACCTACACTAACCATGATTTTAGCTGCACCAATTGTTTTAAATTGGGTGTGCTTGCATTCTACGCTATGGACACTCTGCCGTGGCTTGTGTTTTTGAGGTGCTGTCATGAGGCATCAGAGAGCCTTTGGCTCTACAGAAAGGCAGAAAAGAAAGACATAAAACTTACTTTTTGACATTTCTTCATTTTCTTTGCAGATTGTCTGCTTCAGCTGCTCGATCCGCATCTTGCAAGACATGATTTTCCATCTCTGAAAGAAACAGAGGCTCTTGCACGGTCCCCTTTCTTGCCATTCCTCACCGCAGAAGCAACGCAGTTCCAGAACCTGAAGCAGCAGGAAGTGGCTGCCCGAGGCACAGCCCCGCATGGATATTATCCCCCGACAGTGTCTTGAAAGGCAGTGGATCACCAGCACGCGAGCGGCCACTGATTCTGGGAGTGTCTGAGAAGGCAAACTTCACAGCCTTCCACAACCTGCCTTCCAGATGTGCAAGAGGAAAACTCCCATCATTCCCAACCAGCATGGCTAGGCGTAATGGAGGTTGCAGTCCAATACAATGGTACCTCGGCTCACGAAGGCCTCAGTTCAGGACCAAATCGGGCGGCGAACGGAAATTTCAGAAAGATTTTGCCTCAGGTTGCGGACTCCGCATCGGGCGACCTTTGCAATTGCGTCTGTCTTCCCTGCGTGGGCGTGATCGCGATTGTGCTAAGGGGGGGGGGGGGGAGATGGCCGCGATCTTTGTTGTTTTTGTCACTTTGCTTCACATTTTTGGGGTTAAAAAAATAGTTACACAAAGGATTAACCTTATTTACATTGAACCTTATGTGGAAATTTGACTTGGCTCACGGCCAATTTGGGTTGCGACCAGAGTTGTGGAACGGATTCAGTTCGTGAGCCAAGGTGCCACTGTACTTCTGGAGGGCCCCAAGTTTGGCAAATCTGCCTTCGACTTATCCTTGGGCAAGCGCAGCGCCAGTTAAGCGAGCGAGATGCATTCTGACTCTGCCCAAGAGTTATTGGCCCTGCAGGGGGGAAGCTGTCCACCCACTTTCCGCCCTCCAGTCGAAGGCATGGTCTTTGGTCCTTTGCCAGGTATTGGGGCTTAGAACCAGAACCGCTGGAGAGGCTGGGAGGCACGGGCAGTATCATACCACAAGAAATCAAGAGCTTCTGATTCAGGTTTTGTGCAGGATGGAGGTGTGCAGTCAGACCTAAGCAAACGCGACCTCCGGCAGATGTGAGGCGCCCACCAAATTCAAGCATCGCTAGTCTCCCTTTAAGAAAGGGACTGCTCAACCCTGGAGAATGCAATCCGAATAGAAGGCACTATGCTCAGGAATGGCTTGTAAGTTCCCCTCTTTTTATTATTTGCTTCATTTCACTTTCATGCCCCAAATGGATTTGAGAGTGAGGTTGAGGGACCAGGGCCGATGCGCAGACTGCCAGAACAACACTTTGTGCGTCGAACATGGAGGATCGCCTGCAGCACCCATATTTCTGCCTCTTATTCGATTAAAATGCCTGACACTTTAAATCCAGTGAAACACAGGATTACTTTAAGAGACTAGGAACAGAAAGTGTTTTGGCCTATCTGGGTATTCTCGAACAAGTTCTGTCTAAGCTACAGTACTCTCAACAACAGAGCACCCAATTCACACGAGAGAACCAAAGTATTAAGCAGTATGGGAGGCACCCATGTACTCTGAGCCAAATCATGGTTCCAGCCAGCATGTGGGAGGGACGCTCCAGCTGGGCCTGCGCATGGGGTGATGCACGTGATGTGGGACTGCACCCCAGGGCAGTGGCTCCCACAACAACACAGACTTGGTCTGCAGACAGGTTCAGCTGGAATGTTTCACCCCATGACCGGCTGTGACGGGCGATAAACTCCAATGCTTTGGGAGGGACTCCAGACTGCAGAAGGTTGTATTATGGGAGAGAAGCACCAATTAAGTGTGAACTGGAATACTTCCAAAGGGACTCACCAGCTGGTCAGTTATCTTCTTCCCCTCCATAGCTTTTAACAACCTACAAGAAGTGGGGAGAGGGAAGGAACAAAAGATTAGCGGGTACCCAGAATCATGTTTAGCAAATGTCAGAGGTTACAAAGATTCTCTCTCCGTGCTTAAAGCAACAAGAAAGACAAAAGAAACAGACTGGAGACTTACTGGGACTGGAACTCATGTTGTTTGTTTCTAAGGTGCTTTAATCTCTCCTTCTTTTCAGAAAACCTGCAAAAAGGTAAGGTCGTCAACTTGGATATTCTAAAATGGAATACAGTCCCTATCACAGACCCACAAAGCAAAAGCAAGCACAATTTCCGCTCTCTATGTTGCTCCAGAATTTCCCTAATACTTTTAATTTATGGCATTCCATTCCTCCCCAGGTGCTGAGGGATACCAGCCCGGCCAGCTTTAAAGGGGGTCAGACAAATTCAGGGAGGAGATCAAAGCTCCACCTGGCCACTGCCAGAGCAGCGGGGCAGCTGACAGGAGTCAAGGGATGGATCTCCAGGCACCACGCCATGATTCCACCTGTGACCAATCGCACATGGGCTTCTGCAGCAGGAATGCAAACAGCCTGAAGGAACCGGGCGAAACAATGTGGCACAACTGGTACTGCACTTGATCCTCTGGATGCCCAGGCAAAGGCCCAGTGCAGCCTGTCAGCGCGCCAGCGCCAGACGGAAGTTTCTGTTTACTGAAGGCGGTCACACCTCCCTGCTGCTCCCTCCCCCACACAGCGCTCTTTCATCAGCAAGGTAATTAAGCGGCTGAACTGTTAACCTGTTCACACCGCCCACGATTCATGTGCCAAGAGCAGCAGCCATCTTCCGGGATGCTCTGTGCAGCCCAAGGCGAGGCAAGTGAGCGCCACAACGATCAGCAGCACTCCCTTCTATCCAGGATTGCACAAAGCTATGCACACGCACCTGTGCACACCTGAAGCACAAGCGGGCTCAGCGGCATGGAGCTCCTTTGAAGCTGATAGACCAGCTATGACCCTAACTGGACAGAGCGGGCTTAACTACAGTCATCCGTGCTCTGGGAGCCCCTCGACTGGATCGCGGGAATGTGCTGTATGTGGGGCTGCCCTTGAAAGCAGTCCAGGGACTTCAGCTGATCCAGAACAGGGCAGCCAGACTGTTAATGGGGACTGGGTCATGAGAACACATCACGCCCGTCCTCTTCCAGCTGCACCGGCTGCCGGCTGCAGTCTGAGCCCAATTCAAAGCGCCAGGACTAACACTCAAAGCCCCAAATGGCTTGGGGCCAGGTAATGTGAAGGAACACCGTGTCTCACACGTACCTACCTAGACCCTAAAGACATCTTTGGGGGTCCTTTTCCTGGAGCCCCTTCCAAAGGAGATGAGGGGGCTGCCGGCCAGAAGGGGGGCCTTTTTGGCTGTGGCACCACAGTTTTGGATTGAGCTCCCCAAGGAGGTGTGCCTGGTACCTTCTTTGCATTTTTTTTGGTGCCAGGTAAAGCCCTTTTTATTTTCCCAGCATTTCAACAGTTTACCCTTTAACTTAATTTCTTAATTTAACTTCTTCTGTTACCGTTGCTAAGCTTCCATGCTGATTCAATTGCTATTGTGATTTGGGTGCTTTCAGTTAATTGTGTGTGTGCGAGTGTGTGGTTTGTTGTTTGCTTGCTTGACTTTTGTTAACCGCCCAGACATCCTCCGCTACTGAGCACTATAAAAATGAATTAAATTAATAGATATATAAAGAAACATGTCCAAGAAACAGCTGAGGAAATACACTTCGGAATCATTCCCAAATCCCAACAGAGCCTCAAAGCTTCCAGCAAAGGCGAACACAGACGGCTATTATCAGTCACTCGGCCGCAAGGCTCTCCATCACGGGCGCCTTTGACAGCACCTGCAAACTTGGACTAGTTGGAAGGTCCATCGTGTTGTCACTCATTTCTTGTTATTCAGTGATCATATAACTGTGTTTAATTGTATCAATGTGATTATCAGCTACCCCGGGGGCCTCAATACAGGGTAAAAGTAGGGGAATACCAACTAAAAATATACATTTTAAAAAGGACAGTATTTTTAATCTTTGTGTATATAAGGTACAGAGAGTGCACTTAGATTTCAGCAAACAATTACACAGTGGGTGCATGCATGAGAGCTCAAGGCCTCTCAAAATACTGGGTAACAGATGAACAAAAACCAGCAGAATTTGGACACCTCATCATTTCCAAGCCGAATGGACACAGAGTCAAAACTGACATGTCAGCTCCAGGTTGTAAGTGGAAAGTGTCCCCAGCTGGAACACTGGGCCAGTGGCGATGGAGGTGGAAGACAATGGAGGCTTTCTCAGGCCAGGGTCAGATACTGGTGAGGGGTCCCAGGGCCAGAGGAGAACACAGAGCCAGGATCAAGCAAGAGCTGAGACACGGGAGACACATCGCAGGACTAGTGGCAGAAACGGAGGCAAGAGCAGGAGGGAGCCACCATAAAGACCAGTTTTCTTGCGGCTCAGCTGGTCTGGCGAATCGACTGGCACTGCTCCTGAGAACACCGCCAGGCCTGGTGCTAATCCTGCAAGTATCTGCATGGTGAGCCAGGCTGCTCTCACCACCAGGTCACCAGGAGAAGTGGAAGTGCTTTGCTGCGGGGGACACTAGCCAGGGAGTAAGCTCCAGTAAGACTTGCCGCTGGGCAAACACCAAGGCCCCTGGCTGCACCCGGGTCAGGGAGAGGAGCAGACAGCGGGAGACCCTGAGCCAAACGCGGTCCCATGGGATGCCCGTCCCAACCCTTCAGTTGCTATCCCAGAAGCAAAAGCCATCACGAAGGGAGGGCACCGGCACCAGCAGGATTTCCTGGCAGGCCATGCTAGGAAAAGAAGCCATCCCTCTCCGGGTTTTCAATATGGCCCCAGGAAACTAGGTGCTCACTAGGAGCTGAGCTTTGTCAGCCTCTGTATAGAAATTAAAGATTTGCAACCCAAGAGATCCTAGAGGGACCAAGGGTACCTCCAAGAAGTTAATGACGACAGAATCTCTGCTGTTCTTCATAACAGTAAGCAACACTTATATGGCACATTCCAGTCTTTAAAGTGCTTCACAGACATCATGTTCTAGAAGTTGGGACACACACACTACCGCTGGCAGCATTTTCCATCTTTATCCCCCATGATGCCCGCCTTAGCTTCACCACGTATTTTTTTTAATTCATTTCAGCCAAGTTAGAGGACTACAGTCAGGCTGAAACAAGATGTAAATATCTATTTCTGAACAAGCTGAAAAGGTGTTCTTAAAAAGCCTTTGGTAAACTTGACAAGAACTCTTCCAGGAAGGCCCCTGTTCTCCCACACCCCATCCTGCACAAGGTTGGCCCAAGGCCACCTAAGGTGTTTCTGGATTTAGTAAATTTGAACCACAGCTTCTCCTGCTTGTGCTGTATAGCCATGACGCTATATTCATGTTGTTACCAGCTGGAAATAATTCTCCCGGTCCCCGGACATCGTTCCCGAGCCTGTGCTGCAGTAGCAAAAACACACTGCACAGATGAAGGGCAAAAGGACACCTCTGTTTTCATTCACTGTAGAACTTCCTGCTCCTCTGATTCATTGGCAATAATTAAACGTTAACCAAGTTCAAATGTTGTCATGCTCACATGAAATAGGAAGGACATTTCCTGAAACACATGCCATGTTTCAGGACGAGGTGTAATTTAGCAGAGTAATAATGAGGACACATTTAAATTCCATTGAGAAAGTGCAGCCTAAAGAGCTACCCAGTGGGTGGGTAAAGAGCAAGAGCCACATACTAAGAGTAAGTCCACGCAATCATATTTGGGAATAAACCCCACCGAACGCCCCGGGAGATTTATGAGTGCAGAGTTCGTAGATCAGGTCAGACCAATGGCCCACCTGGCCCAAAACAGTCTGCTCTTATGTTCGAGGGAAAATGAGGCCTTCCTCGTCACTTGCTCCCTGATCCTTTAAACTGGAGAGGCTGAAGAACAACCTGGATCTTCTGCTTATAAGCCAGGTGCTCTTCCACTGATTTCTGGCTGCAACTTACTTCTGTGTAAACATGTGCAGGCTTATGCAGCACAGAAGGCATCTGTTCAAAGAATCTGCAGCCAAAGCGTTCATCTGGAGGCTTAGTAAAAGTCATTTATTATCACTTATTCATTTTTATCCCACCTTTTTTCTTTTTTAGAACACAAAGCAGCTTACATCATTCTCTTTTCCAACTCTCAATCTTACCCCCACAACAACAACCCTGTAAGTTGGGCTGAGAGACAGCAACTGGCCCAAAGCCATCCAGCTGGCTCCATGGCTGAGTGGGGACCAGACAGCCTGAGTCCCAGTCCCACACTCTTAACCACTACACCATACTTGCAATGTTTAGAAACTGGAGGCACCAATGGTTCACTCATACTCCTGTTGAGAATGCAAGAGTCCCAACCAGTGCAGAACAAACCCTGTAACTCCGGTGACACGGAGCCCTTTTTCTGTTTGTACATGCACAGGATTCCTCTTAAGGCTCTACTGAGAAGCAGAACTGCTCCCATTTTGCATCCTAGTAGAGATAATATCAAGACATCACCACACCAAAGGAGTAACACTATGCATAGTTACTCAGAAATTAGTCCTACAACTCCTAGCATGTCCTAGTTTAAATCTGTGCTTCAAAGGGTTTAATTAAACCCTAAGGCAACGCAGGAGCAGTCCTAGTATTTTATATACTAAAAAGAAAAATGGTGACAAGATTCTTAGTGAGAACTCTGCTGCAGATGATTTCAGCTCATAAAACAAATGCCCACAGAGAACACATAGAGAATGCCCACCTTGCAGGTTAGGCACAGAAACACTCCTGATAAAAGCTGTTTTCAGTGTTTGCAGGGCTTAGAAATGCTTTTATATTTTGGCACACTAGCATTAAAACTTTTAAGAGCTGGCACAAAAACATTAGGTATTGTTCCTCCACAAGATTAAAACATTTGTCAAATTCTTATGCACCAACCTAACACCCAGAAATTGCTCTAGCATTTCTCTCATGGAACTCCAAAGCATGTATACAACCAAGTACAGAGGCCACCTGTCTTTCTAGGTAACTGTCCCTTGGCCTATTGAAAGTTCACTCTCACACACTCCCAAACAGCACATGATGCAAATCACGGCAAAGCTGTTCTCATGCTGCTGTACCCAAGGAGCATGCGGCAGGAGCCTACCACCAATAAGGAAGAGAAGAAAAGGGTATGTGCTCAGGGCAGCCCCTTATTCTGAGAACATCAGCCGGGGCAGGCGGGATCAGACCAAGCATCCTTCTGCTCCACCCTTCCATTCACCCTTCCTTTCCCACTGGCTGCCAGTGGGAAAGCCCTGAGGACATGGGAACAATAGTATCTTCCTGCCCATGATCCCCAGCAACTGGCATAGTGGAGGGCACATATCCATCAGGTCTAGAAGCCTTAACCTCCACAGATCAGTCTAATCCCCTTTTAAAAACATCTGACGTGGTGGCCATCATTACATCTTATGAAATGCTTCCAGCAATTCCTGAAAATTCCTAGTCTGCAGAGGAGGAGTTTGGCCCTCATAATGTCACCCATACCACAACTGACATGGGACTGCTCTTTTCTGACCCTGAAAACCATCATGTAGCCACCACAGCTAATTAACAGTTGGTAAGACTTTACTACACGTTTAGTTAGAGAAAAGAGAGAAGGAGTAGATGGGCTGGATAACCAGGCTTAACTCTGGGCAATTTATTTTATTATTCTTTTTCCTACAAGACACCCAAGGCGAGTTACACAGGCTTCCTCCTTCTCCTCTCTATTTTATCCTCACAACCCTGTGAAGTAGATTAGACCAAGTCAGTGACCTGCCTAAAGTGTTACACATGTAGCTTCATGGCCATGTAAGTACCCAGACTCAGCATTCCTGGGTCCCAATCCAGCCCTGTGCTGGAACTGGCTCTTGCAGATGGGAAAGTTTTGCCTGTGAAATCCACAGACTGACAGAGCACAACCAGCCCTGTAGGCCAGATTAGGTCAAGAGTCTATGACCAGCCCGCAGTCCTGCAACAAGCGTCATGGCTGAGAGGCGACTTGAACCCGGGTCCCCCAAGTGCCAACCCAACGCTCTCTCCACTGGCTCGCCAGCCCTAAACTCATAGCTGGCACCCAGGAGGCCTCAGAGCCCGCCTCCTCTCCACTCTATCCTCACGACCGCCCCGCGAGGTGGGCCAGTGAGTGGCCAAAGTGAGCTCGGCGGACAAGCGGGGGCCTGAACCTCGATCTCCAGCAGGCCCGTCCAACCCTCCCACCTCTACGGCCCACTGGCACTTCCCGGCCTAAAACGTGGGAGGCAACAGCGGCGTGGCCGGCGAGCACGTGCAGAGCGCCTCTCGCAGATGCGCGCGCGGGTACTCCCGGGCAGCCCTGCCAGGCACCCGCAGCCTCGCCTCAGCGCCCCGGAGCGCAGCCCCGCCAGGCGCCCGGCGCCTCCCGCCCCGGCCCGCCCCGGCCCGCCGGCACCCACCGCTCCGAGTCGCGGCCGTCGAAGAAGACGAAGTCGCCGTCGCGGACGCACTTGGCGCACGTCAGGCGGCGGCGCGCCGTGTTGCACAGCGGGCAGCGCTCCACGGCCACGTACAGGCCCTCGGCGCCGGCGGGCTCCGCGCCCTCCGCCTCAGCGGCTTCGGCGCCAGGCGGCGGCCGGCGCCGCGCCGAGCCCGACCAACCGCCGCCCCTGGGAGACGCCATGTTGCCGCTGCACTTGCGGCGCCCGGCCGTCACGTGGGACTTTGTTTTCCATCCGGGGCATGACGGGAAGGGGGCGGGCCGCGGGGCCGCCGCGGGGCGGGCCCGGCGGAGGACACGCCCCCTCCGGGTGGGCCTTCCGTGGCGGTGCACTCCTCTCCCTCCCGGGCTCGGCCTGCGGCGCCCATCATCCCCAGCCGGTGCAGCCGTGCGTTGTAGTCCGAGCCCTGGGCCGGGGAGGAGGAATAGGTCCCTTTCCGGCGCAGCGGGAAGAGGTTCTGCTGGTGCGCGCAGTGTCTTCGCGAGGACGCCGGCACGTGGGTGGCCCCGGACACGCGAGCGCCGCACGCGGTTACGGGGCGAGGCGGGGCTGGTCTTTTGGCGGAGAGATGCGGGGACCGGGGAGCGGAGGGAAGCCTCCAGCACTTGCAGCAGCAGCAGCAGCAGCAGGCAATTCTCCTGCCGCCCCGCCGGATCTTCCTGTTGAAAATGCGGCCAAGCTGCCGAGGAGCGCGGGCTGCTGGGGGTGGCAGGGCTTGGAGCCCTAGGTGGGGCACCTGCGGGGTGCCTGTTCTGCACTGCACGTGCCCCGTGCCTCACAGTGCCTTTCCCTGCATCTGCTCATGGCGGAATTCACGACTTTTCATTAGAACGATCTGCCCAGAGGTGCTTTGGACACGAACTGAAACTTCAGTCATAATAGTGTTTCATGGAATGGCTAATTCCATAGTTGGGCTTCAAATGGTTATTTGAAGTTTATTTACTCAAAAATAAACCAAGTTCAATGAGACAATAGGCTTAACACAGCAAGAAGCCATAGCTATTGGTAACCAATAGAGTCTCCATTAAATTACAAAAATGCATGTTACTAGACAACATGTCTATCACTCAATAAACATATTTTTGTTTAAAATTATAAGTTACAGAATTAAGAACAAAGTACTGAAATGCATTACACAGTATTTCAAGATACCAGCCCAACCCCTTAAGTATTTTAACAGAATGTTTCTTTCATCTGTTTTACACCACATTTCACATATCTGAACAATTCTGTGCAAAAGGCATTGAATTCTGTTCTGTTTCATGAATCTGATAAACAGACCTAAAAAAAAAAAAAAAAAAAAAACCAGACCAAAACGGTAAAGTTATGAGCATCTGTCAATTAAGTTTGAGGTAAGAGAATTTGTTCTTAGTGCTCACATCTTACAATATACATTATAAACCCATCTGTTCTCTCATCTCTCCCTCCCCCCCCCACACTCTCTCTCTCTCTCACACACACACATATACACACACTAAGAAGCCTTTTTGAAGCCCTTCAAGATTGGATAAATGTTTTCAAATGCTTCATATATTTCAGAACGTTCTTTGGCACCTGGTAAAAGAAGGTTTCCAAATTAGTTTTGCTAATAGTCATTACTGGTTTTTCGGCGCCAGGTAAAGACCTTTTTATTTAAACATCATTTTAATTGTTAAAATATATGATCTGGCCAGGGCAACTTCTTCTCCCTTCTCTTTCCTCCTCCTATATTCTTTATTTACTTATTTTATACTGTTAATTTTAATTTTATATTATGTTTGTATCTCAGTGTATTTTTTGTATTTTTGTATTTAATGGTAATTTATTATGTTCTGTTGTATTTCAATGTATTTTATTGTGTTGTAAGCCGCCCCGAGGCTTCGGCAAGGGGAGGCATAGAAATGTTATAATAATAATAATAATAATAATAATAATAATAATAATAATAATAATGTTCCAGGGCAGGGCCGGTCGATGGCTCACACCCCAGCAGCGGCCCACTGGTGAAAGCTACCAGGTGGTGCTCCCCCACTTCCCTGCTGCAACCTGCTTGCTCAGGAGATGCTCCGGCTTGCTGGTTCCCCGGCGCTCTGCCTGACAAGCAACGGGATCCCCCAGTGTGGGCAGAGCTGCTTGGAGAAGGGAGGCTGCGTGGCTTTCCCACATGCCACAATCTGCTTGTTCAAAATGGCAACAGGCAGACAGTGTCTGCTCTTGCTTTTCTTCTTCGCACTCCGAGAATACTCAGGGTATAACCTTGCACAAGTTAAAAGGCAAGGCAGCGGCGTGCCGAGAGCCTTTTTCCCTGTCTAACCTTGCCCAGATTATGCCTTGGAGCAGAAGTCCGAGGTGGATCACATTGCTTACCTGTTAATACCACTTTTCCAGACACAAAAATGAGCAGCACGATCCTTGGTTTGACCATTCGATAAATAAGGCCAGGAAACAGTTCTGGTTCATAGCTGCAGTTAGACAAACCCAACAAAATGGTGACTTTAGGAAAACGCAAAATGCAAAGTTTCTTATTTACTGGATTTGTATGCTGCCTCGGAGGCTCATGGGAACCAGAAACAAGAACATAACATAAAATAAAACATTTTATGGGCTGAAAAACTGTCAGGCAATGCTCACAAAGGGCTTTTTAAATGTGTTTTCTGTGGCTTTGGTGTTGAGAGTGTTTAAGCACTGGATCCCTTCCTCTTCGCTTGTGTCGCACACCCAGTTATTCTGTGCTAGTTTAATTGGTCTGATCTGTGGCCTGCAGAACGGACATTTCTCCCCCTTTCAGATTATGCTCTAGAGCTGCATTTCCAATAAATAACTGGGCATTAAGCCACTGAGGACTAGAAAGCTGACTTTTTTAGCCTTGAAACGAGAAAGCACAGCACTGCACTATTCCACGGCAACAACGGGGCATCTAGGCAGCATCTCCAAGCTATGAACAGAAATGCTTCTTTCCATTTTGCTGCTGTGGCCCTTTCCAACCTCAAGTCCCCAGATGTCACTGGACTACAACTCCCATCATCTAGAGCCAGTGGGGCCCATGCTCAGATGTGCAGACAGGTTTATTTGTTTGTTTATCCATCAACACCTGGGGAAAAGCCACTCTGTTGCCTCTTGGTTGCTTTCACAGATTGGTGGGAGAACATACCTGCTGAATTGCTGATGCGTTAGGACTAAGCCTTCCAGGCGGATGGGGAACCTCACGTCACAGCTGCCCACCATGTTCTGTATTTTGAAGTCCAGGAATTTAGCGGGGAAGCCGAGTTTCTGCACAACGCGCGCATACTTCCTGGCAGCAAGGCGTGACTGTTCTTCACTGCAGAATCCCACAAAGGGCAAAAACAAGCAAGCACAGAGCATCCATCAGAGCTTCGGGGAGGCTTAGAGTTGGCTGGAAAAGGTGGAGCAGACCTTTCTCCATCCAGCCTAGAATAATCTCTTCTGCACCTAACTAGCAAGTCATCCCAGGAAAAAATGCTCTCCATTTACCAAGGCACTTAGCTACTATTATTATTTTCATTTACATCCTGCCTGTTCCCAGTGTTGTGACTCCAGGTGGCTCACAACATAAAGAACATATGCAATGAAGACATTTGTGGAGCCATCAAAAGCTAAAGATGCCATTGAATCAGCAAAGCACTAAAATTGTAAAAAGAGACATCACATCCAGTGACTAGGTTGACTATGGGTTCAGAGTGGGTAGTTGCTGAAACGTGGCATTTCCCCCTCCTCTAGATGCATGATCCAAAAGCATAACAAGGAACTCCAAGAGAAAGCATCCTCTTTCACTGTTTCACAGGATGAGAAAACCTTCCATGGATCCTTGCAATATAGATTCCATGGGGAATTCCTCACCCCCCCCCCCCGCGTTAGCAGGGATAGAAGTGCCCCACGACATTTTTCTGGGTTGCCAATCCCACCTTTTTGCTCCTGTGCAGACCATCTTGCCAGAACTAAATATAAGGGCCGTCGTTCTCGGCTCTCTGATTCTCATGATCACAGCAGCAAATCTCTAAAGTTCAGGGGGAAAAACAGCAGATCATCAGCTTGTGTAAAACACTTTACTAGAGTATGGTTTTTTAAAATCAAAACACATACGGTTTAAAAGCACATATGCTTCTTTGTTTGGGATGGCTTCCAGTTGTCTGCAAGAGAATTTCCCAGCCTGGATAAATGCATTTTCCAAAGGTCTGGACTTGCAAAAGAAGCCATAAATATTGTAACGCAGAACATCTTTTTGAAAAGATAATATTTGCTTAACATATACTAATGATAAAATCAATTATCACTCATGAAAATGTCTGTTTTTAGATTAGGTATTGTGAAATGGAAGGTCAATGAACTTGAAGGGGAATGCCAGAAAAATCAACAAAACAGTGTTCAGGAAAGCTGTAATCTGCATTACCTAAACTGAACCTCCATGTCCAGGGGAAGAATACCTGCATACTAGACACTGGGCCAAACAATGGGAAGTGGATGTTGCCTTGAAGCCCTCCAGGCAAGCACCCTGAGCCACCAGCAGTCCACAAGGAGAAATGGGAAATTGGGAAGGAGACGGACTCTGTCTTGTCTCCACATCCCAGCAAGGCAGATGGACTGAGAGGGGCGGCTCGCTCACACAGCTGTGAGCCTTGGGACTGCTGAGGGATTTGAATTTTCCAGGTCCAGACCCCAAGGCATCACTGGGAGCCTCCTTGCAAACAAGAACTCTTTAACACTCCCCAGTGCAGGTTTAAATGCGGCAAACGGGGTAGCTTGCCTCCTTTTTCAGGCACTCGGCTGCTTATGACTCAAGGCTGTCACAACGGCTTAAGTTCTAGTCTTTGCTGCTTCGGATTGAAGCGAAAGATTCCGCAGTCTGCATGTTCCTTTGCAAGTTCCCTGTTCAGTGCATTTGGGTTCTTTGATGTACAGGCTGCGATTTGGTTTAAGTGAGGAACTTGCCAGAAGGCATTTCAACGGCACTGGAGTTGACACAGGGTGAAGGAGATGTGTGCTGATAGCACTATTTATTTATTTAAAGCATTTTTACCCTGTTCTTTACAGGGGTTTCAGGACGGCAATACAAACAAACAAAAAGCCAGCACAGAGTTAAGACATAAATCTGATAAAACCCAATATGTTCATGGAACGGAGCCAGCTCAGAGTTCCCTCTTCTTCACGAAACTAAACATAACATTACACCCTGTTGTACATCTGAAGACGACCACGATGAAACCATGTTTTGAAGGCTCCTAAGATAACACGTTCTGAAAGCAGGGTGTTAGGTCCAGCCCACTGACCGAAGAAGGGTGGAGCGTATGGAATTGGGCTGCCAAAGCGGAACCCGGCGAGTGAAGGACGCCTGGGGAGCCTTCAGCGTGCACGATCCCAAAATGATGGTTATAGCTGGCCATGGAATTATTATGAGGCCTGTTCAGGAGGAACCTGTGAAGGAAGCCCTCCTGGAGCAGAGAACAAGCCACCAAGTTGGAGGGCTTGAAAAGGGCAGTTGACAGACTCCTGGAGGAGAAGGCTTCTCCATGGTATGCATCCTCCAGAATCGGAGTCAGGATACCTGGGCACCCCAGTCCGAGGGTGCGGGGATGCCACCGCGGCTGGTTGGCCAGTGTGGAACAGATGCTGGACTAGATCGAGCTGGTCTGATCCAGCACAGTTGTTCCTCTCTCTTCCCTGAAGCTCTACACCAGCCTTCCCCAAGCTTCTGCCTTGCGGACACGCTCGGGCTGCAACACCCAGAATTCCCAGTCAATGGCCCTGCTGCATGGGAATTCTGGGAGCTGCAGCCCCAGTACCTGTGAAGGCCACCAGGTTGAGGAAGGCCGCTGTACACCTGGCCAGAACCTTGAGTGGGGACAGCCAACAGAAGGGAAGCGGCCCCTTGGCTTCCCTGCTCAGCTGCGTGTCCTCCGTTTGAAGAAGTCCTCTGTGTCAAGGCCTGTCCTAGTCCATTCTAGATTAAAGAGAGAGAACCACACACACCTGTCCATCAACAACAGGCAGGTGCGGGACACCTGTGGACACCCTTCCACATGAGGGGAAATATGCCACGTGTCCATCTAAATTAGAGCAATTATGCCTCATTTCCACCCCGTGCATAAATGGGCACATGGAGATTTTGTTCCAATGGCTCCCTTCTTGTTCGCTGGAATAAAAGAGGCCACCTGCTTGAAAAAGAGGCCAGGGCCAGGCAGCCTTCCGAGGGCTTACCTTTGGATTATATTCTGCATTTCTGGCATGGAGGGCTATATTTTTGAGGTTCAGCTTGCAAGCCAGATTGACAGTGGCGACAATATTCCTGGAAGAGCAAGAGAAAGCGTGTCAATATATTTAGGAAGCCGTCCGTGGGGATGATGCACCGATCACGGTGTGTTTCTGAGCAAATCAGGTCTCTCTTTCAGTACTCAAGTGCAGGAAGAATTGCCACCACCTGCCGCACGGAACAGGACTGTGCCAGCATTCCAGGTGAGCAGAACACTAATATAAGTTTGAGAAAGATTTCACTCACCTCCCTGGGAGAAATACTCAAGCGTGGGCTCCATTTTTCTTTAGAAACACCACCTTTCTACTCACTTGGCTTTGTGCAATCTCATTTTGCAAACAACCGGAGCATAAGGTTGGAAGAAAAGCAGGACAATTAGGTTGGAGCTGCAGGTGGCGGTTAGAGAAGGATTTATCCTAAACATCTGGTTGCATGAGGAAGTCACTGCGGCCGTGCGCCCCCTTCTCCTCTCCCCTTTGCCAGGAGGCCCAGCACTTAGTGGGAGTGCTTCTTCGCACGTGGAAATCTACTCCCGGCAGCCTCTGGTAGACCATTTTGTCAGATTAACAGGAGGGAAGGGGCATGGGGTGAAGCTGGGGTGGGGGGTTGCTAGGTGGTGAAGGCCTCTCTGCTTCCTATCAGGCCGTCTTTCAGACTGTGTCTCCACCCAGCCCCTCATTGAACGGGCCAGTTCACACATCCCAAGAACCCAACCTGGGCAGTAACATTGCGGCCGACTGTTTCATGACCCCGAGTTTTGACAGCTCTCAATCAAAACTTCGTTTTCCCCATAAAGGGATTTGGAAGCACTCTTGCATTTTCCGGGGCAACACACATCTTGGGGAAATGTGTGAGCCAAGCATCACCTTGGGGACCATCAGGACAGAAAAGACGAGGTTCTCACCACAAAGGCGATGTGAACTGCCACACTTGCGAGCCAAGATTGCTTGACCCGAACCCTAACCCTTAGCAGTGGACTGTTTGACAGCCGTCAGGGGAATGAGATGGGAGGAGAAGCTGCTTGACTCTTTCTAGGACAAGATCCAGGTCTGGTGCCTGCTGTTGACAGCAGACGACTCTCAGGGTACAGACTTGAGCAAGTGGATGCATTAAAAGGTGTGCGGTGCACTTTTTCTTACAGGTAACAAGCCAGTGGTAGTCCTCCAGTGCGTCACCAGGCACCTCGAGAGGGCTGCCTTTGCCCCCATCAAGGACAGACTGACAAGAGGGACCAGGGCCCCCCTGCCACTTTTTTGCCCCCATTACGCTTTACTTACGGGGGAGAACAGTTGCCCAGGTTCAGACAACATGACAACCTACTGTGGGTAAGCCAAGCCTTGGAAGAGCCTATGAGTTTCTCAGGCTGGCTTGTTTGGGGAAGGAAAGAAAAACAAGCCAGGATGGGTGAGAAGGTCTGGGTTCTGATCACCCAACCACCCATGATGGCTAGTTACCCATGATGGGTTGTTGTGATGTCTGAACCAGGTCAGTTTATTAATACAACAGCAATCCTGGTTTATCAGATGGGTCTACGAATCTTCATGGGCAGTGTGGCCATCATCTTTTGCGGAAAAACATGTTCCATGAGCCCTCTTTTGTGAGCATCATAGCCGGAGACGTTCCATTACACTTCAGCTAGGAAAAGAATATCCCACTGGAATCGGCTTAGGGCCGGGCTGGCTGTCCTTTGGAAGCCGCAGCCTTGAAGAGCTAAGCAGGACTGTGGTGGACAGAAGATTCTGGACGGTGCTCTTTCATGAGATCGCCGGAAGTCAGGGACGACTTGACGGCAGGGGACGATAGCAACTGACTTTTCGGCTGACTTACTGTAACTGTGGAACAATGCCAGAACCTTCCGAAGTGGGGGTTACCGGGGTCATGGGAGTCATTGGGATCACAGAGGGACAGTCCCCCGATGGCTCAGGCAGTGGCTGAGTTGCGCTGGCGTCCCTTTCTTGGGGCCGAGCGGCGTTGTCCGAGAACGTCCCACTGCCTTGTGTTCCCAGCTGGGGGCCAAGCACGTTGCCACCACCGCTTTCTTGCTCGTCTTGGCCGAAATCATCCGGCAGGAAGCTGAGGTCTACCGAAGAAAACTCTTTGCTTTGGTCAAGCTGAGAACTAAATGGTACATCTGGGGGGGAGGAAATGGGCAAGTCCGTCCCAAAGAGACCCATGGGAGCGTACCTCTGCAGACTGATCGAGGGGAAGTCATCCTTGACGACATCGGAGCAACAACATAGGAGAGAAAAACAGTGGTTACACTTTCTGTTTAAGGATTGCCCATGTTTGTGCAAACTTTTCCAAACCAGTGGAGTACCACATGCCTAGCAACGCCATGACTTTCTCACCGGGACCATGCTTTTTCCCCCCCGAATTTATACCCTGCCTTTTTCCTACAAAGGGCTCAAGGCAGCTTACATCATTCTCCTCCTCCATCTTATCCCCACAACAACAACCCTGTGAGGTAGGCTGGGCTGAGAGTTTGTGACTGGCCCAAAGCCACTCAGTTGACACGAACCCGGATCGCCGGAGTCCCAGTTCCATGCTCTTCACCACCATGCCCCACTGGCTTGGCCCAGTGTTAGCAGGTGTCTCCATCAATGGGTTGTGTAAATGGCCAACACAGACACTACACCATTTGCACTAGGAAGTTATGTCACCTTGATTAATTCACACAGACAAATATCCCATCGTACCCCGGAGATTCAGGACAGGTAGTATACCAAATAGACCTTGATCTAGCAAGTGGGATGTAGCTTATTTCGTAAGATATTGTTATCCAAATCTGGGAAGCCTTCTAAGGTAGTGAGATTGCCTGATGTGGTCAACCACCAACCAACGCGTTGAGATGTTCTCCAGGAGGAGGAAACTTTATCCCAGAAATAAAGGGGTGCTCATCTTCACACAAGCAAAGCGAGGTTTGTGTGTGGCACCCACCCAAACGATGCAGGTTCCTAACCTTTATACTGCTGACTAAGCCGTGTCCCTCCGCTCCTCCCGTTGTTCTAGCTCCGGTTTAGACAAGCTAGAACTAGTTTTAGCTGTGCCATGCTTACCTCCCTTGGTATTTGGGAGGGAAAGAGGCTTGCCGTAACCGAGTATGTGATGAGTTGTTGTTGTTGTTGTTGTTGTTATTATTATAACAACATTTCTATGCCGCCCCTTGCCGAAGCCTCGGGGCGGCTTACAACACAATAAAATACATTGAAATACAATAGAACATAATAAATTACCACTAAATACAAAAATACAAAAAATACACTGAGATACAAACATAATAATATTAAATTAAAATTAACAGTATAAAATAAGTAAATAAAGAATATAGGAGGAGAAAAGAGAAGGAAGAAGAAGTTGCCCTGGCCAGATCACATATTTTAACAATTAAATTTTTAACAATTAAAGTTGGAGTGTCTCTGAGCTTGAAGCCCACGATTGGGCCTCTCTTGTCTATCAATGTGGTGAGCCCAGCAAGAGAACTACTTTGCTACCTGTCACCAAGTGTGTGGTGGATAGGAATTGGACAGACCTATATTGAAACAGCAAAACCCCACAAATGCCAAACTAAAAAAAAAAATCCATTACATCCGCAGCCTCTCTTCTTCCTGCAAAGAATCTCCATTTTTATCCTCACATCAACCCTGCAAGGTAGTCTGAGAACCAGCAACTGACCCAGAGTTATGAGATTTCAGATCTCCTTCGTCTTAGTCCATGCATATCTAAGCCACACTGGCTGTTGTGATACCAGGGGGCATCTTTATGCAGTTTGGTAGCCAAATCTCAGCTGGGGACACAGGCAGGGGCTCCATGGAGACCCTGAATACATGAGGCATATATTACAGACATGTATCTGAACATGTGCAAAGTTCAGTTCTCCCGATCACTTAGTAATCAACACCCTTCCTCTGCAAAATCAGATTTGGGGATGTATGGAAACAGGAATAACTGTGGAGATGACATAAACCAACCAAGGCCTTCCATCTGCTTATTTTTTGGAGATGTTTTCATCCTATAAAGGTTTCTTTGCAGTCAGGACTACAATTCCAAGCAACCTGTTAGGAAATGAATTCTATTAAATGCACTGGCTTTATTTCTGGGTACAGTGGGGAGCCAAAGGAATGCCTGAGCTCACCCAGATAATTTTGAACCCCACTCCTCATGCAACCTGTGCGCCTTTTACTTCAGATGAAGAAAGTGGGAAAAGCTGTGTGAAGAACCACTTTTTCTCCATTGAGTAAAGCATTAAAATGAGCATTTAAAAATGCATTTTTAAAAGAATACCAGTTTTTCAAATGGGATCACAAGCTCAATAGCATGCCAAGCAAACTTTCCCCCCAGAATGTGTTTGTTCTCACATTCAGGGTGTTGAACACTGCAGATTCTGATGATTTGAGAACTGAAACTAAAATCTTGCTTGCCTCTACTTCTGAGTAAACAAGCTGAGGCATAAGCTTCCCTTGTGCCCCTTTCCAGGTGAGTTCTGCCATTTGAGGCAGTAATTCTGCACATGTTTTCTGGGGACTGAGAATGTATCTGGATTTTCTTTTGAGTAAGCAGGTTTAGGACTGGAAGTTGAATCCTGAGTTGAACCAGAAAGCCCTAGGATGCATCAAACATTTCACATCCATATAACAAAAAGTCTGATGGCCTAGCCCAGAAAATTATGGAGAGAAAAGCAATATAATGAAAGCTAGAATATTGATATAGTTTTGAAGCTGGAAAGCCTCAGGCCAGTATTTTGATGCCACCCCATAGCTGAAACTCTCTGGTGGTTAATTTTTATTTTATTTTTTGCTCAACCTCTTGCAACAGCATAACCATGATTTTGTGAGTTTTGCAGCCCTAAAATAGTATTTTCTTTTATTGCAACTGCCTAATATCCAAAGCTTTCAATAGGAAGGTATAATACAATTCCTTCAGTCTTGGTGAGAACACCAGAGAAAGAAAACGAGCTACCCAAAAGCATTCCCAAAACTAAATCCAGCCCCCCTGAGATTACCTGATCTAAGTAGCTTTCCAATGAGAATTCCCCGTCCATGGTTTGCTTCCCTACTTCATACAGAACAACACACAAAGAGCACTTCCGATTTTGAGCAACCTGGCTCTTATGGAACAGAGAGAACCTGGCCAGTGCGATCCCAGGAGAAAGCACATCTCCAACATCATCTTTCTAGCTTAAGTAAATGAGAGCACCTGTGTGAATTAAGAACCTGCTTAAATTAGGGATCTACTTTGCTGCAGAAAAACCTGAGTGCATAAGGCACCTGGAGGAATTTCTCAACTGTCCTCTGAAGCTAATCTGTTTCTTTGGGCTTTCCAGGGGGAACAACTGTGTTGGTCTTTCAACAACCCGACTGCCATTTGATGAGGGACAATGAGAGCTTAAATTATCGATATGCTCCACGGTTACACGGGATTCAAAGCTCTGCTCAGGGCAGCTTGGGAAGTTCTGTATAAGCTGCTGGTTCAGGGAGCAATCCTATGCATATATGGGAAGGAAAAGCCATGCGACCCCTTGCATTCCCTGGCCGGCTGTGTTGGCTGAAGAATGCTGAGGCTTGTAGATTTTTTTCTGTCGAAATATGCGCAAGGTTGCAGGCTCACAGAAGGGCAATTCCAAACAATCCTCAGTGGGGAGCCAGAGAGTTAAGCCCGGCTTGAATGTAGCTTGAAATGGGGGCTTGCAATATCTAAAACAGGACAGTAACACTTGCAGTGCTTAGCATGAAAGCAGGGAAGAGGGCAGAGCAAAGGGCAGGTGTGCATTTGGGCATGTGAAAAGAGCTGATGCCCAAACCATGTGAAAGGGGCAGAAAGCCTTTCCCAAATGGAAAGAAGGCAGCCTGTTTTGCAGGTTTTTTTCCCAGACATTCAGCTCTCCCTTTGGCCTGGAATTCAGTGCAGCCTCTGAAAAAGGTCCAAGTTTAACCCTATGGTGCCATGCAAGCCCTCGCTGATCTTGGCCTTGCAACACACCAGGTCTGTGTCTGGAAGTGTTCCTGGCGTGTGGCTGGCAGGTCTTTTATGACCCTTTGCTCTTTGTCCTTTTGCTTTTCCAGTGATTTCCCCGATGCAGCTGGTTTGTCCCCCACTCCTGGACTCCCACTTCCCTCATCTATTTATTGGACTGATAACCAGCCTTTTTGTTTACAAGAATTCAAAGTGGCTTCTGTAATTCTCCTCCTGTTCTCAGTACGATCCTCTCTCTTAACATAGTCTAATTATGGCAAATAGGGGAGAATACCTTCATTTTTAGGTGCAAAAATATGCTTTTAATGCAAAATGTTTAGGTGCTGTTGGATAGTGGATCGATGTAGTCGCGTGATTTTAGGGATTTGAAGCCTTCGTCTTGATATCCTGGATGGCAGGATGATGGTGCTTGGAGTGGCTACCCAAGCACAGAAACAGAAGAAACGATAAGCAGCTAAGCGGCAATGTTATTGGAACCAGCAAGTTCATCACCCAAGGAATTGCAACAGAAGTAGAGGATTGAGGGATACAAGTCTGCAAAAAAATGGAACAGAAGAACCTAGGACAAGCCAGGCTGGATCAGAATACGGGTCCATCCAGTCCTAAATTCCATGCACACGTGGGAAAGCAGCTGCCCAGGCCTTCCCCCTTTCCCAATTATGCCTAAGGTGGAATTTGCCCTTTTCACAGCAGCTGTGCACCAGGTTGATGGCCTTCAACACTGCAGAACGGAGTTCATTGTTTTGAGTTTGATCCGGAGGGTTCAGGGAGAGAAGCTTCAGGTCTAAGGGCTAAATTGCCCCCCACCAGGGGTGGGCATATATTGTCCTAGGGCATTCCCAGTGCCCCTTCCCCTAACCACTGGCCATTTGCTGTTTTTTCTGGATTTCATGCAGTCCTCTCCCCAACAGCCTCATTGTAAAAGGCGGAAATACGTTAACACGTGGTTACCAGCAGTAAGAGCTCTGGGTGACCATGGGCTGGTCGATTTTGCATTTTAGCTCTACCCTTTTGAGAACACAAGTCATCCTGGACCAGACTGAGGGTCCATCCAGTCTAGCACTGTCTGCAGTGGCAGAGCAGTTGCCCGCAGGATCCCTCAGGCCACATGGGCCCAAGGCCTCCGCCTGCCCAAGCTCCTCAGCAGCCGGGGTACCATTCACCTCTGTGAAGGAAGCAGCACAAGACCAGCAAGGAAGCCTTCTCCCTCATGAATCTGTCCAAACTTATTTCGAAGCGATCCAGGTTGGCGGCCATCACCGCTTCCCGTGGCAGCAAATCCCACAGTTGAACTGTGCATTGTTCGAAGAACACTCCGTGCTAAATTTTGAACACCTCCACCTCGCCTCCCCTTCCTCGCCTGTTTGCTAAGCTGAACAGCCCCAGCTGTTGTGGTGCTCCTACAACAGTGGGGGTGATGCAGCAGCCCCCGGATCATCGCCACCGTTCTCTGCACTCTCTCCAGCTTAACTACGTCCTTTTTCAGGCAAGGCAACCAGAACCAAACACAGTATTCTAAGTGTGGTTCCACCCAATATTTGTAGAAGGGAAGCAAGATCCTGCTAGGTCTATTTTCCGTTCCGTTCCTAATTGAGTTTGCCTTCTCCGCTGCCGCTGCAAATGAGTGGAGCTCTTCTGTGCAGTGCAGTGCAGGCTGAAGGCCGGTGCCTTACAATTTCCTGGGATTAAGCACCTGAGGGAAACAGCTCAGCCCCCCCACCCCAGTCGCTGGTTCATCTCCGAGACATTTTTTTCCTGGATCTGTCTTTGAGAATGTTCTCTAACTTGCAGTGCCAATGGCCGAGTCCTAGTAGCTGTAACCTTGTGTATCTGTATAGATGCCTAACGCGACTTCAGAGGCAGGAGTTACTCAGCTCTTCCTGCCTCCTCTAAGCAGGATGCTATTTCGAGCCCGTTCTTGCTCCGCAGCAGTTCGCAACACTGACAGCTTGCCGGTCCCGCATTTCCCTTTGCTGTCAGCTCGATTTTATCCTCTCTCTCTTCTCTGGGGAATGTCTTCTGAATCCAGGAAACGGATCTAACGGCCATCATTGAGATCTGCGGGAGAGGCCCTTCTCTGGGAACCCTCCGTGAAAGAAATTAGGAGGGTAGGTACTCGGAGGAGGGCTTTCTCTGCGGTGGCGCCCAATCTATGGAATGCGCTCCCCAGAGAGGTCCGCCTGGCGCCGTCGTTATTTCTTTTTCAGCGCCAGGCGAAGACCTTTTTATTTAAACGTCATTTTAATTGTTCACAATATTTGCTTATTTATCTGGCCAGGGCGACTTCTTTTACATTATTATTTATTTTATATTGTTAATTTTATATTGTTATTTCTGTATTTTATTGTGTTGTAAGCTGCCCCGAGGCTTCGGCAAGGGGCGGCATAGAAATGTTTTAATAAATACATACATACATAAATAAATCAAGTAGAATGTCATGCTGTCCTGGGGGAAGGCCTGATTCTTTCCAGTACTCTGCTAATAAATAAGGTGCAGGCATTTTGGGTGACTGGGGGCAAAACAGGACTTGGTCTGGGGAAGGACTGCAGGGAAGAGGGTGTCCTGATCCTGTTCTAGCGGAGTCCTCTCTTTTGGTTGTGTGGTCCTCACGGAGACTGTCCCTGGTGCCACCAAAAAACAGCCTCACCACGGAGCCTCCTTGTCTTCTCTCTGTGTGGCTTTCAACTACCGTATTTTTCCGTGTATAAGACGCTACTTTTTCTTAAAAACATTTACCGTATTTTTCCTTCTATAGGATGCCCCCCACTTTTCCTAATGATTTGCAGCGAGCAAGCTGCTGCCGCCCGCACATGCCGCTCCGCTGCCCCGCTCACGCGACTGTGCCAGTCTCCCCCCCGCCGAGCATGTCTCCCATGTCTAAGATGCACCTCCATTTTTAGCTAAATGTTTTAAAGAAAAAGTAGCATCTTATACATGGAAAAATATGGTATTTATTTATTTATTTAGATTTATATGCCGCCCCATTCGCTGAAGCCTCGGGGCGGCTCACAATTAAAAATGGAGGTGCGTTTTATACATGGGGGGGCATGCTTGGGGGGGAGGCTGGCGTGATCGCGCGTGGGGGGGGCAGTGAGGCGATGCGCGCATGCGGGGGGTGAGGCGGCAGCAGCTTGTTCGCTCTGAGAGGGGTAGGAAAAGTTGGGAGCGTCCTATACATGGGGGGTGTCCTATAGATGGAAAAATACAGGGAACTCTGTGCACCTCACATTGTTATTTATTTATTTAAAACATTTCTATGCCGCCCCCGTCGCAACAAAGCCTCGGGGCGGCTCACAAAGAATACATAAATACCTACATAAATAATGATAATATAACTATTAAAAAAATCGATTAAAAACCCCCGGTGCATTCTCAGCTAAAAATGTTAAAATCCTAATTCAATAATTTAAAAGCACAACATATCCCAGAACTGGAAAGTAACCTTGGAGGCAGCAGTAACGTTAGATGAAGCCAAGCTCAGGGAGCCAAGGTTCCACTTGGATGCCAGGAAGCACTTCCTGACAGTCAGGACCCCGAGGGTGTGGAATGGGCTTCCACGAGAGGTGGTTGAGGCCCCATCGGTGCAGGTGTTCAAGGACAGGCTGGACGTCCACATGGTGGGCACATCGTGAGCGGAGCCGGCTGGAGCCGGGGGTCAGACTAGATGGCCCGGGAGGCCCTTTCTGACTCGCTCCGTTTCCATGTTTCTATGATTCTATGGCTCTTACAGGGGAATGAGAAGTACACCTGGGCGTAACATCGGACAGAGGCTCATCCACCACAGCAGAGAAAACAGCTGTAACAGGTGCCCCATAACAGTCTTCCCAAAAAATGTAGGAAGAAAGCACGTGGTCTTCAGTGCCTATATACTGATGGGAAACAGCCTGAACTTGGACTCTTAATGCAGGAGGGGGAATACGAAATGGTAGGTGTATCTGAAACTTGGTGGGGTGATCCTGCTTAATCTTTTCATTAATGACATGGAAGAAGGGGTGAACAGTCTGCTGATCAAGTTCGCAGGCGACACTAAAACTGGAGCAGTGGCCACAACTGAGGAGCAGGTACTCCAGATCCAAAAGGATCTGGACAGACTATGGAAGTGGGCAGGAGACAACAGGATGGCGTTCAGTGTGGATAAGTGCAAGATCTTGCACTTGGGGCGTAGGAATGGGGGTCATAAGCACAGGTTAGGGGGCAAGTGGCTGGAGAGCAGCACTTGTGAAAGGGACCTTGGGGTGCTGGTTGACTGAAGGCTAAACATAAGTCAGCCGTGTGATGTGGTGGCCAAGAGGGCGAACGCCACCCTTGGTTGCATAGCCAGAAGTGTGGCTTCTAGAGCGAGCGAGGTGTTACTGCCACTCTGTACAACTCTGGTGCGCCCACAACTGGAGTATTGGGCTCAGTTTTGGGCCCCTTGTTACAGGAAGGATATAGCCAGGTTGGAGACAGTGCAGCGAAGGGCCACAAGGTTGGTGGCCGGTTTGCAGGGGATGCCGTATGAGGTGAGACTGAGGGAACTCGGTCACTTCAGCCTGGAGAAGAGGAGACTCAGAGGGGACCTGTTGGCGACAGATATGTACTTGGGGGGTTGCCACATGGAGGTGGGTAGAGACCTGTTCTCCCCTGCAGAGGAAGGCAGGATGTGCTCCAACAGAGCAAAGCTCAGGGAACCAAGATTCCATTTGGATGCCAGGAAGCACTTCCTGACAGTTAGGACCCCGAGGGTGTGGAATGGGCTTCCATGAGAGGTGGCTGAGGCCCCATCGGTGCGGGTGTTCAAGGACAGGCAGGACATGCACATGGCAGGCATGTCATGAGTGGAGCCGGCTGGAGCCGGGGGTCAGACTAGATGGCCCGGGAGACCCCTTCTGACTCGCTCTGTTTCTATGTTTCTAAGATGGAAATCAGAGGGTTGCTAGAGAACAGGGAGACTGCAAAGAAGCTGGGGGTACAGTTGGGCAGATGCCTAAGACTTCTTCTCATCTGTCATTTGGTACACTCTTGAGCACTGTGGAATGCGTATGATCACATCCTGGAAAAAGCTTCCTTAGCAAACTGTTTGCATCATTATTTTCCCACGTTCCTATCCCTGGGCAAAAACAGCCCCGCCCTCACTTTGGTCTTGGCTGCCTTCTGTCCGAGCTAAGATAGGCCTCCCCCCGCACTTCCAGTCACGGAGGAGCTGGCACGGCGTGGGAGGGCCGTGGCTGCAGTGGGGAAGCCAGGTCCCCAAGGCCACAGCTCCCCGTGCCAATGGGGCAAGTCATCGGTTTCCTTCCCTCTCGTAACTCAAGCGAGGCCGGGGTCCTGGGACAGATTTCCAGGGGAAGCACACAAGCGAGGTCAAGGAAATTGGTTTTTAATGGTTTAACCGTGCAAAACGTCACACTGATACTGGCAGCCAAAGTTGCCCATGCAGGTTTAGGTCCCAAGCAGCGTTAAAAAAAAAATCCTCTACTGAATTACTTTAAATAATCAAGGTTGACAGCTCAGGCGTTTATCTTGCAATCACCTGTACATATAAACACGCATACCACTAGGGTCTCATCTTCAACCGGTGTGGTGGACACAAGGGGGAAAGAGTGGCCCGAATCTTGCTCGCTGCCCCACACTTCAACCGTGCAGGCCCGCTCAGCAAGCTGCGTCCTTCGCCGCGGCAGTCTCAGCATCAGGCGAAAGAGCAAGGCAGGTGGCACGATGCGAGCAAAACTCTCGTCTCAGGCGAGCTCCTATTTCTCAGTGGAAAAGGCCCTTTTCATGAGGGGGGGAGGCGTCTTTCCCACGTCAAACATGGTTTCCAGAGGAGGGTTGTGCAGGTAGCACCAGTCAGGGATGCGGCCCGTCTGGCTGTAGTATTCCTTTGACACTGAGCGACTTCCGAGGATGTCTTGGAGGGCTCCAAAAATGGCTCCTGGAACGTGGCACAAAACATCTTTTTTACTCTTGGGAAAACACAGAGGATAGTGGCAGGAGACAAGAACCCTGTGACCTCACTGGCCTTGTGTGAAGACAAACACGGAAGGACTCGTTGCGTGCTAAACCAAACTCTGAAGGAGTGTGGAAAACATGCAACGCTTTCAATAAAAATTATTGATGGAATGCACCAATAAAATTAAAAGCCGCCTCCCAGGTTCCACCCGGGCACGGGGGGCGTGCGACGCCTCTGGATTTGTCTTCACCTAGGTCTCCGTGTCATGGCTGGAGCTCTGAGGCACTGTAGCATGCTTCTGGTCCTCAGTAATCCCAGTGCTAACCCACACGCTCCCCAGACTCACCCCCCAGCCACGCCACGCAGTTCGGCTTGGCGGGCGGCGTGTGCACACGGAAGGTCTTCGAGGCCAGCAGCTCCTTGTACTTTGGCTTCTCCACCAGGTACCGGATCTCCGCCATTAACCGGTGCAAGAATCCCGGCAACATGGCAGTGCCGCCCATCACCACGAGGTTTTCGGCCAGTTGCTTTCGGGTATCTATGGGGCACTGAGAGGAGGGGAGAGGAGAGGAGAGGAGAGGAGAGGAGAGGAGAGGAGGTCAAAACCTCTCTCTCCAGATCTGTCAACCGAGATCCGTGGTCCGGCAGACCAGGAGAGGGGCTGGCCACACCGCAGGGAAGGGGGGAGCTGCCGTCCTACAGGGGTGCCTTGCATGCCGGCTCGCTCGGCATCTCCACCCGGCATAGCCCCTGCCGCCACTTTTCTGGGTGCAGGTGTGGAATTGACCACAGAGGGAAAGGCCGAGAATCCAAGTGGCCAGGACACGGGAGACAGGGGGCCCCTGAGACCGCTGCCTTCTGGGGCTCCCTTCTGATCCCCAACGGCTTTGGGCTTTTAGGAGCCAGAACGTTGGAGAGGCAGGCACGAGGCCTCACGGAGCCGCGGCAGGAAAGTCAGGTGCTCCGTTTGCTCTTTGAGGGCTGCTGCGGGGATATACAGCCCACGGTGTCCAGCCCACGGCTGACCTCTGGTCTGGGAGAGGTATGGGGGTCACATTCGTTCAGCAGGAATGTCCCAATGCAAACTGGGTGTCAGCCCAAGTCGGTGGGGTGTGTGGTTCCTATATTAAGGCAACTCAGAAGCAAGAAGGGGCTTGAATCAACCGACAACGCTCAGATGCTCAATACTGAGAAGCAAGCATGAGCAGCAAGCTTACTCCTGAGTAAGCAGGACCAGCCTCATGAGGAAGAGACAGGAAAACCCAGCAGTTTTGTTTAGGGGAAGGAATTCATTTGTGGTACAGCTGGTCTGGCATAAAAGAGACAACATGCCAACGGATGCACATCACACCTCAATAAGTGAGTCCAGTATCAAAGTGGCCACCGATTTCTCCTCATTGTCCTGCTCAAAGAGTATTTCGACGACAGAATCTCTGTTGGAAGAAACACAAGGCTGCGTCAAGTAGCGCCTGAGGAGAATACGCACCATTCCTGTTCAAGAGATCAGGGGACTCCACCGGCTCCTCCCAATTCTCCAACGGCCCTGCAAGGAGCTGAGCTGACCTTCGGGCAGGAGAAGTGTTGGGCATCCAGCTTGTGCACTGGGTTCTCCGACCTCCCGGGGCTGGTGGGCCTATCTGGAATGGCGACAGTTGCGTACACACTCACAGAATGGTCGCCGTGAGGATTTGCTCACTCGTAAAATGGCCGCCCTGAGAAGCGGGGAATTCCTTTCCCTGGAGGGGAAATGGTGAGGCTAAAAGAGGAGGAACTCGTTCAATAGCCTAAGTACTAGGCAGAAGTGGGGAAAGCGTTGCAAAACGCAAAAGCATGCTTTTGGACCCAAATGATAGGTAGCAGTCCACTTTGCAGTGGCCTAGCCTACTGGATTAAAACAGAATTAAAATACCTTTAATGAAATAAAAATCAAAAAGGACAGGGAGTCTGCAGGCCTTGGGAGAAGAGCCCTGGGCCTCAGGCTGGAAGAGCTCCACTCACTTCCCGTCATAAAAACAAATACAAGTATTTCTAACCTGATTGCTCCGTTCACATGCAAAATCTTCTCTCCGTCCAGGGGATATTCTACATCTGGGGGTGGAGCTGGGCGCTGGAACAGAATGAGCACATTTGGAAGGTGAGACGTTTAAAAGAGGCATTTTAAGATGCTGATTCTGTCTGTGGAATTTGAAAGTCTGTTTACTCCTCGCCTACCTCAGCGCTGCCATCCATATTGAACTTTGCTGCCTGAATTTTCAGTCCCCGCTGGAGGTCGCTCACGAAACAAGTGCGAACTTCAGAGACAGGAAAAAAGGTTTTTTATTCTCCATCATTATTTCTAGTACTGTTTCACTCTGTAAAGCACTTTACAAATCCTGACCCTTTGACAGTGGCCAATTCTGGGTGTGGGAATTCCAGGACACACGTAAAACTCCCGATGGTATTGGATAGATAGATAGATAGATAGATAGATAGATATTTATTTATTTAGTCAGTCAGTCAGTCAGTCAGTCAGTCAGTCAGTCAATTTATATCCTGCCTTTTTCCTACAAAGGGCTCAAGGCAGCTTACATCATTCTCCTCCTCCGTCTTATCCCCACAACAACAACCCTGTGAGGTAGGTTGGGCTGAGAGTCTGTGACTGGCCCAGAGTCACCCAGTCGGCTCCATGGCTGAGCGGGGACTCGAACCCAGATCGCCTGAGTCCCAATCCCGTGCTCTTAACCACTATCGAAATGGATTATGTCACCATAACCCATTGGTTGCCAGATGGGATGTGGATCTTCAGTCATGAGAGATTTCTGTAAAATGACATTTATTTCCTGGGGTGTCACCCCCCTCCCCCTGTAGAAAACTGTGGGTCATGTTTGCTGGCTGAAACCTTCTTCTTCTCAACGATAGAAGATTCCATAGAGTCAACCATGAGGATGGCGTGAGCTGTAAGTAACTCAATACAGGACAGGATTAACCTGCCAAATAATTAAGATACCAGCACATTTTAGCGCAAAATCTGTACTGTTTTCTGACATAACTAAATCTAAGGCAAGGGATTTCAACCTTCTGGAATACAGGAGAACTGTGTAAGGCCAGATAACCACCAAAAGACTGGTGGAAGGGAAGAGGGGCAGAGCCTTTGGGAAAATCTCCACGGGCCCGACTGGGACCCCCAGAAGGCTGCCAATGGCCCACGGAAATCTCAGGTTCCACATGAAACAAACTGATTTGCACGATCCCAAGTAGAAAAACTAAAACAATGCCCCCCCACCCCCCATTACTGCAACATTAGCTAATCCAGTGAAGGGGATTTAAAGACACTGGAGTGCTTTGCAAGCATCTATGTGTATATTCTGTGGAGTATATTCACTGGAGAAGAGCCTGATGCTGGGAATGATTGAGGGCAAAAGGAGAAGGGGGTGGCAGAGGTTGAGGTGGCTGGATGGGGTCACTGGGGCAGTGGGTGCGGGCTTGGGTGGACTCCAGGGATGGTGGAGGACAGGAAGGCCTGGAGGAGTGTTGTCCATGGGGTCGCGAAGGGTCAGCCATGACTCTGATACTAAACAACAGCAAAAACAAAAAAACTGTGTATCTAATGGGAAAAAAGCCAAGTTAAGGAACATACGATGAAAGACACTTACCTTTAATGTCTTCCACAATGTCTTCTGGAACAGAACCTGAAACAGAGGGCATTGTTTAGTCCGACACATCTGCAGTTAGCAGCAACCGAACTCGAGCACAGAGGGGTGGAGAACCAAGAGCAAATAAGCAGGCAAGAGCTGTTATGAGATGAGCTGATGGAAAAACACATGCTCTTGGACCAAGACTGCGGGTCCGAGACTTTGGATCTAAAGAGCCTCCCACCCTCCCCACGCAGGCACGCAAGCACACACACGCACAACGCAACAAGGTGTCTGATGTTGTGGCTGGTGGGAGATGGAGTCAGTGGCACTGCACATTCCCCACCCTTTCTCTAATGACTCAGCATGTCCGCTGGAGGCATAAGGCTATCATGGACCACGGAGTTTGGGGGCCACCATGCCTACCAGGATAACCTTTGTGCCACTTTTCACAGAGTTGGGAGGTTGCCTGCTAGTTTCCCTTTTGTTCTGTTCATCACGTGGGAAAGGGATGAGCCCCCGCCCTCTCCTTGAAGAGATCAAATGAGAAGCATCCCTCTCCTAGGAGTAAAGAGAAGTCACCCATCACGGAGGGAAGGCTCTGTCCCTTGGTGGCTCCCGTATCCACAGTGCTCTGCTCCAGTAACTGGTTCTCCAGCTCTCTAGAGGATTGGAGAGTAGACAGCAGTTATTTTAGCATGCCTGCCACGGGTTCTCCAGCTCCCGTCTGATGCAACGCATGCATATAATAGCTCAGTCTTAGTATATGGCTTCAGCAAGGCGAACAGATGAAGGGCCTTCTTGGTGGCTGCTCGCTGCCTCTGGAGTAGCCTCCCCTAGGAAGTTTGCCTGGCGCCATCTCTATCACGGTTTCAGTGGCAGGCAAAAATGTTTTTTAGTATCTTGTTTAGTAATTGATCTTGCCCTCCCCTGCACTGCTGCTCCGCTCGGTTATTATTGTTAGGTTTGAAATCTTGATAATGAAGTTTTATTTTTATTTCACATCTGTTTTCATCTTTATTATGTGTTTTTATTTTTATTTTACACCGCCTTGAAACTACAGTAATAAGTGGCATATAAATGAAAGTATAAAAGAATGAACAACATGTTTTCAGAGGGCAATTTGTGCTCACGCAGGGACAGATCAGTATTTTCAATCTTCCCAACTACAGCCTGAAGTAAAGCTCCCCCCCCCACCCCAAAGGCATGTGGTCTGCAGCCTGATTCAGAGGAAGGTGTGCATGTGGACAATTCTTTTTCCCAGGCTTGCAGCTTAAGTTCTGGAAATGTTATGCCCAAAGCAACTCAAATTATGTCAGCATGGCACAAACACTTTGACAAAATACGTGGTGTGAACTTACTTGTGAATGGCTTTTCCTCCCAATGGAAGGGCACCCCAGCAGCTGAGAATTGGAATCCCTTCATAAATCTGTAAGCAGCTAAGGATGTATTTATGATAGAGACGGCCGGATCCACACACCTAGTTTATTAATGGCAGCCTTACCACAGAGCAGTCATTTTGAAGAATGGAATTTTTCTTTCATAATTTAGTTAGTTTTTAACTTAGGTGTGCAGGCGAAAGCTCTTTTGATTCATGCTTTCTTCCTGATTTCTCTATGCTGCAAGGGGAAAGAATGGAAAGGATACAGGTAGGACCAGACTTTCTGTGTAGCCGCAATCTAAGACCATCGCAGAATTAATCCCAAGGGTCAGGAGAGACATCAGGTGGCTTGGGGCAAACAGCACCGATGGAACCTGGAGGAACAGGGAGGTGACGGTGTGAGTGTGCGACACAGCAAGCAGGAAGGCTGGGCAGCTCTCACACGATGCTTTGCATGCCAGAAGGTCCAGGTTCCATCTCTGGCATCTCCAGCTCAAAGGAACAGATGAAGGGAAGGAGGGAGTTCCACTGCCAACTAGAGAAGAGGCTGGGATGGACCAACAGCAAGTACCACCCAGAAAGCTTTGGCTGTGGGGCAAATGAAGAGAAATGAAGTGATGACGATCATAATTGAGTGACCTCACAGCTTTAGATCTCCTGATTTTGCCCAGAAGCAAGATCAGAAGTTCATTAAAACTGAGTGTATAGAATGTTTGCATCTGACTTCAGCCACAGAAACACACCTCCCTGTGAAGGGACAGAGGAACACGGGGAGCAATGCCCTGCCATGCCAGCCACCTGCCTCAGCCCCCCAGGGCCAGCTGGCGGCAGTGATTTGAAAATTACCAAGGGGGCCCCAGCTGTTTCTCCAGCTCTTCCCTTCATCATTACGACTGCCATCCTGACTTTACCCCTCTTGCAAAGAATGCGTGGCAGCTTACGCCATCTCCCTACTCTCCCTTTCATATTTGCATTCCAAGAGACTGGACATGGTTCTTTCCTTTATATGTACCTGGATCAGAGACTGTGCCTATTTAGACAAAAAAGAAACCCTACTACTCCCAGCGAGCCCCAGCCGGGAACCTGGCCAAGTTGTAAGATTTCTCTGTCTTAACGTGCATGGGGGTACGGCCTTAGCCACACATGCCAGTTTGCGCCCCACCCCCCGCATTCTAGAGGGTAGGAAAAACTTTGGCTGCTAATTCCATGAGATTGGCTGGAGCAGACATGGAGCTTGGCAGTGGATTACTGAACAAGTTGGTGGTGGGCTTGTCGTGGGCGGAGCTGGCTGGAGACGGGGGTCAGGCCAGATGGTCCGGGAGACCCCTTCTGACTTGCTCTGTTTCTATGTTTCTAAGTTCATTATGTCTGAGCTGGGAAATGAAAGCAATTTCACTTGGCCTACTTGCTAAGTGAAAAGTAACGACTTGAGAGAGTCACTTTGCAGGCTGGCTGTGCATGCAGTGAGAAAGCTAAATGCCAGTGCAGGGTTCTGGCTGTCCTTCACGGTGATGGCAGAAGCGACTGAAAACATCCAGATGAGGTCAAAAGTTGCTTTGCAAACAAGACGCCCTAGTGCTGAGATAGCTGCACAGACACTGGAACTGCGTTACCTCAAAATACTTGAACAGAACTTTTGTGAGTGTCTCTCTGAAATGGGAAGGGCACAGCACGGATTCCACAATCACAACACGACGGTCTCGGGGGTTGACCAGCAAGTGCCTGAAAAATCAGTGAATGAAATCAGAGTGGAATCAAAGCTGGCCGCTGTTGTATGGTTTTGTGTACACATTTATTTCCTGCTTAGATTCCAGCAACTTAAGCGTAGCAATTTCTAGACATGACCTGTATTCCTGTGCACATCCAAATGGGAATATGTCCTGTGTAACTAAATGGGACTTACTTCCAAAGGACACCAGGGAATCCAGTGGGTTTTTTCACCAAAGCAGACTCCCTGCACGTCCCTTCTTCTGCACAGACATGCATAAGGCTGCACTGCTAATCCGCAAACCAGGGGAGACGAGAAAGAACGTGAGCGGAGCAACACGGCAGAATGGCGGCTCCTGGCACAGAGAAGCAGCTCAGTCTTTTGCTTCTTGTCCAATGGCAAATTGTATCAGGGCTGAATACCCTGGTGCTCTCCAAATTTTTTGCCCCACAACTCTCAGAAGCCCAGATCACATAGCCAATGATCAAGGACTGTGGGAGTTGTAGTCCAAAACTACCTGGAAGGCCCCAGACTGTCAGCTTAGGGAAGAACCATAGTTTGGCGGCAGAGTCCCAGGTTTGTTCTCTGGCATCTCCAGGGAGGACTAGAAAAACGCCTGCATGGAACCCTGGAGAGCCACTGCTGCCAGCCAGTGTTAACATTATTGGGTCAGGGGGTCTGAATCAGTGTGAGGCAGCCTGTTGTGTTTCAAACCTGGGATAACAATGCTTCAGGACACCTCTTTAGTGCTGCTCTCATGGCTGAGACTTTACCATGCAAGATTTTAACTCAGGCTGGCCTAGCCTAGCTCATAGGACATGACCCAGAAGTTAAACAATCCCTGAGCCTTGGTCTCCAGGTCAGAGAGCTCTGGAGATAGTAATAGCTGCTGCACTGCAAAAAATACAGGCTCCTACTGGCCTTGGGGGAGGCGAGAAAGGAAAGAGGTCTTTTTCTTTGATGTTAACAAGCTTGGCTCAGTGCTGAGAGAGCCACCTGGAAGTCCAGGAGCCTCTTCTCAGATGCAGTACCCAACCCTGTGCAATCTTCATATAGACCCAAAAGTATTTTATTGTTCACACAGTAACGAAACAGTTTTTTCTCCGAGTCAAGCTCTCAGTTCAGTGCAGCATTTCTTACCTAAAATAGAGCATGTGGATGAACTCCTTCAGGTAGGAATATAGCTCTTCTGTGTTGATGTTGCATTGAACAACTTTGATGGGCTGTGAAAGAAAAGCATCCATTGAACCAATTTTGAATTGATACTACTTCATGCTTACTAATTACTTAATTTCTATACTGTCCCTTAGCCAAAGCTTCCTGGGCAGTTGAGAGCAATTCACAAAAAGTAAAATGATATAATACAAATACAATAAAATCGAAGCAGTGCTAAAACATTTGAAACAGCTAAAGGTTTTAGTAAAAATGACCCTGTATTTGCAAGTTAAATCATCAAAGGGTTAAGAAGAGGTTTGGGTAAGTGAGAATGCACTGAAGTTTTTGTTGAGCAAGACTATCCTATTAACAGTCCAGTGCTACAGTCTTGCCCCAGGTTGCCAGACCTGAGTCAGAGGCCAAATGTGGCCCTCTGGTGTTCTCCAGACAGCCACACTCATTTCCCATGCCACTGATCATCTGGGGGGTTCCCAGCACGGGTACAGCTCCTGGCCCATGCCAAAAAACTGACTTGAAATGTCTATTTTAAGGGTTAGTTACTCGTACCAAGAACTTTAAACTACAGCAAGCTGCTACTGCTACTTCTTTTTCGTCTTCTTTTGGTATTTTGGTCCATCACGTTTGCTCCTGGCCCTTGTTCCCACCATAAGAGCGCAGCCCTGGAGAGCCTCTCGCCAGTGGAATTTGGCCCTCGGGATGCAATGGTTCCACAGCCCTGGTCTGGCCAACAGGTACGCTACGCCTCAGACTGCAGCTGCACACATCCTGAGATCCCTCTTATTTCTAGCTGTACCAGTGCAAGGGGACATTAATTGCTATTATGCAATTAACACTCAAACACTCCATCTTAGCTGTAAGAAAGTATTTTGGTCCCTCAAGCCAGTGTGGTGTAGAGGTTAAGAGCACGGGACTGGGACTCAGACGATCTGAGTTCTAGTCCCCGCTCAGCCATGGAGCCAACTGGGTGACTTTGGGCCAGTCACAGACTCTCAGCCCAACCTACCTCACAGGGTTGTTGTTGTGGGGATAAGATGAGGAGGAGAATGATGTAAGCTGCCTTAAGCCCTTTGTAGAAAAAAGGCAGGATATAAATCGAAAAATAAATAAATAAATAAATGAAGAAGTAGCACGGCTTATGCTACCATCTCTGCATGGCAGTTTCTGTTTCATCAATTGGAAGAACTGTAACAACCCAGTAGAAAGGATCAGGGCCAATTAAGGAAGAGGCCATTATTAGAAGAAGATTGGGGGGGGGGTCAGATATGTTTGTGGAAAATAAGATTGCTTGTATAAATCTGCAAGTACTAATACAGTAAAATGCCAGCAAAACTTTTTGAAGAGAAAGAAGGAGCCTTACCTTTGAGATGCCAGGTTTCTTTATTTCACTGGGAATAACACATCTTGGTCCTGTTTCTCCTGCAAAGCCACATCTGGAAAATCAAGGTGACATAAATACGCACAGTTCCAAACAACACAGTGGACAGGAGTGGCAGGAGGGCCATTTTTTTCCAGGCCAGGTCGCATCAAACTGAGCCATATGTCAACTGAAAATGCCCTCCTGAGTTGGCCACAGGTGATCCGAGCTAGGCCAGGAATAACTGTAACATTTTAGATATTCAAACAAAAGTAAAACATCACCTTCTCTGCCTTCTCCAGCTGGGGAATATATCTATTAAATTTGTTCTGCATTGTTTCCTTAGTTTGCTATAAATTCTTAGATTTCCAAAACAGAGGTCAAATGGTTACTTTAAAGTTCTTGCTCAACACACTCAATTTCTCAAAAGACCATCCACAAGCTTGTAAACATGTGTAAGAATTTTTATTCCAGAAAAAAATCTAAAGTTTTAGAAGACAACAAAAGTAGTAAGTGCAAGGGAACTTAAACCCATTCCACACCGCAAGTCCCATTAATTAGGAAAGATATGTACTCCCTTTTTTACATTTAGGAATTGTATGTTTTTCCCTACTGTACCTGACCACACTTCTTAGCCCTCTCCATTTCGTAATGGGGCAAACAGGAGGTGACCCTAAAGGAACTTTGTCCTGACCACCACACTTGATACATTAACCTGCTTTAGCAAGCAGTGCTCTAAGTGGGACATTTGGGCAGCATCAAAACATGAGACTCAAGCTGAAAGAGGAGGTGTCTTCGGGAACTGCATTGTGGTGGAGAACAAAGACAGGACCAACGCCAATAGCTGTGTGGAGAAAGAAGAGAATGCGAAGGGTTGCAATGAAAAATGTCATCTGGACCTGCGACATTCCTTTCCAAGTGATAAGAGATTTTTCAAACAGAGGCCCTGACAATGCAGCTTGTGATGTGGCATAAAAAAACTGTCACACTGGCTGGGTTCACACAACTTGCTCACCCTCCTTGGGCATCCTACCTATGCACTGTGGTTAATATTCCTCTGTGCCTGACAGTTCTGTGCCTTCTCCCAGGAGCTGCCGCAAGCCATTTAGTACTGGCTACAGCTTGACATTTTACAAAGAGTGCCTCTGTGTTATCCACACTTAGGAGAATGGGGACAGCCAGGACTGCAGGAACAGCCCCCCGACTCAACCCCTGCCGAGGATTCTGTGGCAAAGTGTGCTCTGCACCCCCCCCCCACCATTGCCTCCTCAAATATGAGCAAAAAGCTAGCACTGGACTGCACAATTGCAGCTTGCTGTGCACACAGGTGTCAAAATGTAACTGTGCAGCCCACCACTACAAAGAAAATACATCAGGGTGGAAAACGAAAGCAGAACCCTACAATGTCTGCTGTGAGCGCTAGGACCCACATGTAGCAACCTAGGCCATGGGCCCGTGGGCTGCCTTTGCTCCCCTGACCATCCACTAACCATCAGAAATACAAAAAGAGCATGCAAAATCCCCGGGGAAAAAAAGACTCTCCACATAGTTTTCTAATTGTTTCTTGGAAGACTTCCAGAGACAGCAGCTCTTAATGCTACATTGTACAGCAACTCTATTTTTGCCTTCCCAGTGAGTAAGAAAACATTTTTAATAAGCAGTTGAGAAACAGAAGACAACAACAAATGGAAGGGAACAATATCTGGAACTGACTCTCATGTTAGTCCCACTTAACGAGTAGACTCACTGAAATGACAGAAGCTTAAGTTAGTCATGCCCAAATCCCATTCATTTCAATGGGTTTACTCTAAATGTAGGACTCACATTGGATTTCATTCCTAGATACCCCAGAACATTCCATACATATGAGGCAATGTGACTGTGGTGACAAAGTGAGAACATTAACTTTCTTCTTTTCTAACTTTCCACCTAGCCAGATGCTAAGATCATTCTCAGCAGATGGGCTTTTCTGTTGTAGCATCCTGATGAACATTTATTTAATTTATATCTCACGTTTTCTCTTGTAAAGAACTCAGGATGGCTCAGATCATTATCCTCCCACTGCTCTCAATCTTATCTCCACAACAACCACCCTGTGTGATAAATTGCACTGAGAATCTGTGACTAGCCTAAAGTTACTCAGTTGGCTGAGCAAGGACTAGAACCCAGACCACATGAGTTTCAGTCGCACACTCTTAAGCACTACACCAGCCTTCCTCAACCTTGTGCCTTCCAGACATGTTTGGACTGCAACACCCAGAATTCCCAATCAATGACCTTGCTGAATGGGAATTCTGGGAACTGTGGTCAAATTGCTTATGAAGGCCACAAGCTTGTGGAAGGCTGCACTACACCACACTGGTTCTCAGACTACAGAATGAACTTCCCAGGAAAGCATGCCCAGCACCTACATTGTACTCTTTTCGTTGCCAGGTGAATGCCTTATTTTCCAGGGAATTCTTCCAAGAATATTAGCTTCCTTTTAACAACTCTGTGTTGCATTTTAAATCTAAGCATTTCTGCTAGCTTTTACTCTAGTTTTCACTTATTTTACACTGTACTCCCAACTATTCACTTTTTAAGCTGATTTCTGTTTTAAATAGTTATGAACGTCCTGAGAACTTTGCCAATTAGGTAATTTAAAATGTAATAAAGCACTAAAAAAATACATGAAGCAAACACAGAAAAGTCTTTTCTGGAAGCACTCCAGCGTTTTCTTTTCGAAAATGGGAGGGGGAAGCTCTCTCCCTACCCCAGAATAAACGCTCCCACCTCCAGCAACCCCCACCAGCCCTAGAAAGGCTACACGCCGTGCACGAGCGCTTCTCCGCGCAGGCCTCTGCGCGGGATGCAATGGAGGGAGCAGGGCGGAAGGCAGCGCGGGGAGGGAAGGCGGCACGATCCACTTCGGGCGTTGAACTTGGGTTGAGCAAAGGGGGCTCCGCACGAAATGAAAGCCATGGGGCGAAGAGAGAGCGGGGAGGGAAGCGGAGGCCTCTTACTTGGTGAAGGCCGCGCCCAGGTCGATCACCACCGCCGTCTTCTCGCCGCCGCTCCCGAGGCCCTCGTACAGCGGCATCGCCGCGCTGACAGGGCGAGGGGCGAAGGACCCACCCGCCGCTCGCAACGCCCAGGGGCCGAAATGAGCGACAACCACAGAGGGTCTTTCCTGGAGGGCGGCGCATGCAGCTGATTGGCCGAGAGAGGCCGGCGGGGGCCTTCCGCTGGTGCCGGCGCGGTGCGCGCGCATCTCAGGGACTGCCCTGTTCCGTGCCTGGAACTATTTTGCTCGAGTAAACTGCTTTAAAAAAACCAAAAACTTAAAAATAACTCTTTAAGATCACGCCGGGTTTTGTTCTGCCTTTTATTACTTTACTCCGTCTTGCAACGGCTTCTGCCCTGAAAGGCTGCCAAGAAAATATCTCTTTGTTTAACATGCAATAGCCGAAGTTCACTGAGTGCGTTAGAATTGCTTAAAAGATGGGGTCTCGGCACCTTTCCAATTTCTTGTAGCACGTCTTTGTAGACACGCTTGCAGCTGGTCCGAGCATTTGAGGCTGGGGCAAACCTAGTGAAAATGTGGTCCCTACCCGCACATTCTCTGCAATTACAACCGATGCGAATGAATCATAGAAAAATAACTGTTTTCGTTGGGAAACTGATTTTTCCGCATTCCCATGGCCCATGCTTACAACAGATGCAGGGAAAGCTTGTGTTTTGGAAAAGGGGAAAGCTGGGAGAAAATCTGGGAGGAAAACCAAGGATGAATGGAAAAGGTGTCAGGACATGGACTGAAAGTGCATGATGTACTTGGGGAATAAAAGCACTGGGCACAGAACTGAACTCTCCAGCACCTCACTGGTTAACTCCCTCCAGTTTCAGAAGCTGCCCTTGATGAGTGATCCACCTAATACTTTTTCTATCTAGTCCACTTTTTGCTAATTTTCCTATCAGAATGTTGTGGGGTGCTATGTCAAAAGTTTTGCTAACATCTAGGTAGATTATGTCCACAGTGTTCCTTCTGCCCATTTGGGAGGTTACCCAGTCAAAAAATGAGATTCAATTAGTCTGACAGGATTTATTTTTGATAAAACCATGTTGGCTTTCATTAAGCACTACATTTTCTTCAAGATGCTTCCAGATGGATTTTTTAAATAATTTGCTCCATAATTTTTCCAGGGGTTAATGTCAGACTAATTGGTGTGTAATTCTCAGGTTCATCTCCCCCCCCCCCCCCAGCCCACTTTGAAGATAGGGACATTAGCCCTTCTCCAGTCATCTGGTACTTCTCCTGTTTTCCAAGATTCATCGAAGATAATAGCCAGTGGTTCTGAGAGTTCCTCTACTAGCTCTTTTATGACTCTGGGATGGAGTTCATGGAGTCCTGGAGATTTGAACGTGTTTATTCCAGCTGTGAGAAATGAAATGTTACTGTTACTAAGTGTGAAGGGTGAAAAACAGGAATAGGACAGGATCATTGAAGTCTCTTAAGGCAGAACATGTAAATGGTGGTTCTAATAATGTTTCTTATATAAAAAGTTCCGAAAAATACCAGAAGGGGTAAAATTGGGGGATGGTGGTAAAACTGTCACCTTCAGTGGAGGAGAGCAGACAATAGATTACTTTACAACTGGCGATAATGAGCCTGAAGAAAGGCCTGTTCTCATTGTCTCATCCTCCCCACAAGATTTAAGAAACATTTTGGCGTCAAGTAAGAATTTTCAAGGCCACTTTGGCCTGTTGACCTCTTAGAAGTTACTACGCATGCTTAATAGACTCATAAATAGTAAATGATGCACCTCTAATAGGTAATTGGCTCATTAGCATGAACATGGGATGTATGAGCGGGAGGGGGGAACATATTAAGGAGTAGTATGATATAGGAGAATGGGGAAGATTGTGACTTCTTAGTAACCAGCCAATGGCAAAGCGGGGAGAGTGTTGAGCACAGGGAAAGGAATGTATAAAATCTCTTGTAAACAGTAAAGGATTGCTCTTTGTTTCTCAGACTGTTGAGGCATTGAGCCAGCCTTTGCAAACGCTTTTTGGAATAAACTCCTTGTACCTACTCGAATCCTGTCTCAAAGAGTTTTAAATCTCACACAGCTAAGTATTTCTTTATCATTTGCCTGTCCATCTTGGGCTGCCATCTCTCACTTTCAGCTTGTACTTCCTCTTGTTGCAGATTTTCTTGAGGGAGAAGACTGAGGCAAAGTAGGAATTGAGCGCCTCTGCCTTTTCCTTGTTGTCCATTATGAAGTTCCCTATGATTACTATATTGATCAACTATGGTACTATAGTTGGGGAAGGAGAAGGCTAGGAAGGTCACAAGGAACAGGGCTTGAGCCTGGTGGGCCTTAGAGATTTATGATGGAGAGTGTAGATGGACTAAACTTGTGTGTGTGTGTGTGTGTGTGTGTAAACACAAGGGAGGCTAGTCCCAAGGATAATTATCAATTTCAGGTGGGGAGCTTAAAAAGGCAGCTAGTTTGGGTATATTCAGGATGGACTCGGTAGCTTGCCTCTGGAGACCTTACTCTGATGACCTGGCTTCTTGACTGCCCCCAAACTAGCAGAGTAGACATTAAGACTGAGACCTGGAAGGGCAGCAACGAAGGAACTAGAAAAGATCATCAAGTGTAAGGAAATTTCACTGGAGGCCAAGGCGAAGGTCATCCACACCTTTGTATCCCTGATCTCTCTGTACAGGTGTGAAAGTTGGACAGTGGAGAAAGCTGGCAGGGAGAAGGCTGATGCATGTGAAACATGATGCTGGGGAAGGAGTTTGGTGACATACCCTGAACTGGCAGAAAGAGGATCAAGTGGGCCCTGGGTCAAATTAAGGCAGAGCTTTACCTAGAAACAAAAATGACCAATCTGAAGCTGTCCTACTTTGGGCACTTCAAGAGAAAGCAAAATTACCCAGAGAAGACAATCATTTAGGGAAAGTTGAAGGCAGAAGAAGAGGAAGACCAAGAGATGGGTGGACTCGGTCAAGAGAGCCACAGCCTCGAATTTAGAAGAGCTGACCAGGGCTGTCAGGGACTCTCATGTGTAGGGTTGTCACAAGGTTGGAGGCAACTTGATGGCACAGAACAACAACAGCCCTGAGACAGTAAGTAGAGGCCTTCAGAACAAAAAGATACTGTGAGGGTGCCCAGTTGGTGGTTCAAACTGGTTTAACTAGTGTGACTCCAACCTCAAAACAATGGGGGGCAGCAGCAGGAGGGGGCTATTTCCCATTCCTGGAGGCATCTGGAGGGCATCCGTGGGAAACGGACTGCTGGGCAAGAGGGGCCTTCAGTCTGATGCTGTCCTTATGCGCTTGTTTGGTCTGCAAGATTCTCTACAGCTTTTCTGATGGGGTGGGAGCACTCACTCCCGGTCACTCTGAGAAGCCCTTCCAAATATCTTCTTAGACCCACGTGCCATCTGTCATTCCCCTTTACTTGCTTTTCCAATACTGTACTAGTATTGGAAAAATATGCAGGGCAGCAGAGAGGGAAAAATAGCTTTGTGAGACAGAGAATGGACAGACGGTGGAATAAATTTAAGCTGAAAATGAGAGAGAGAGAGAGAGAGAGAGAGAGAGACTTTCTTTGCTGGTTTACTTCTGGGATGATTTTCTTTTATCTCAGGTCACTTCGTGGCTCCATTTAGTTTAGATATATTTTAAACATACCCTACAAGACCCCACGTCATGGCATTCAACCTAGAAGGCACCGTTTCAGGCTTTCTTCCCAGTTCAGCATTACTTGGGTGACCTTGGGCGGTTTGGAGAAGCATCTGGGAAGTTTTTACTCAGCACTTCTGGTTCCCAGGTCACAGCTGCTGACTTGATTTAACAAGGATGTTCTATTCCTGCCACCAGCAACGTGGAGCCAAAAAGCCAGCCTCAGATTTATTCTTTTCTGATCGATAAAAATGGAAATCGTAAGAATGTCATCTGCTGTGTTGCAAAAGGGATGGCAGAAGCGGAGCTGGCTGGAGACACGGCTCGGCTTGCAGGTTCTCCTTTGTTGGCTGGGATTTTTGGGAGTCGTAGTTCAGTACATCTGGCAGACACCCGGTTGGGAAGACTGGTGCAGTGGTTACAGAGTATTGGACTAGGACAGCCAACCCCAACCTGATGGTTGCCAGATGCTTTGGACTATAACTCCCAGAATTCCTGACTATTGGCCAGCTGGCCGGGGCTGGTGAGAGCTGAAGCCCAAAGTGTCACAGGCACCAAGCTGGGGATGGCTGGACTTGAACTGGAGTAGCAAAGTCCAATTCAAATTCTCATTCCACCAGGAAGCTCCCTGAGTAATCTTGGGCCAATCACTTACTCATAACCTACCCTATCTCACAGGGTTGTTCAGAGGAAAATTGGCTGGGAAAGGAAAGGATCCACAAGGCCTTGTGCTCCCTGAAGGAAAGGCAGGATGTAAGTAAGAAAGTAAGTAAATAAATACTCTAGTGTTTCAGTGTTTAAGCTTGAGTTAAAATTTCAGCCTTGGGAAAATATAGTTTAACCCATCTCTACAGGGATAAAAAAGGCTGATTTAATTTAAGGATTACCTTACAGATTAGTTCAAATAAGAACGTATAGCAGAAGGGAGAGTTTATGAAAACCGTAAGGTGTGATGCATACATGTGTTATTGCCATTGTGCTATGTTCAGGTTCCACCACTCCCCCCTTGCAGCAAACCGGTGGCTCACCTTTTAACTTCCATTTCCATTTTGTTCTGCAAGGCAGGTGAGGCTGAGAGCGAGCAAGCGACTGGTCCAAAGTCGTGCACTGAGCTTCATGGCCAAGCAGGGCCTAGAACCCGGGTCTCCCAAGGGCCAGTTCAGCATGCAAGCCACCTAGCCGCACCGTACACTGAAAGCGATGGGAACCCCTGCAAAGTCTCCGCAGGAGGGCTGGAGCTGCTCCGCGCATGCGTGTCTTCCTGTCTGCATTGATCTGCATAAGGTTATGAATAAATGTTGGGGCAGAGGAAGAACAATGAAATGAAACAATTGTTCACAGGATGGATCCCCCTGTGGCTGCTCCCGGATGTTTAATTAGACTAATTAGGAAGGAGTGGTCCAGGGCAAAACCACTCAAGGCATCCTGGGACAAGGAACAATGATGGTGTTTGCTTTGAAAAAGGACTCTGTCTTTGGAGTTAATTGGCACCCGTGGGTGCTGAGGACAGAGGAAAAAGATGCTCGGCAGCTCTTCAACTTGCAGGTGGGAATGGCAGACATACAGCAGCAGGTTTCCCTGAGCTGTGCCTTCCAGATGTATTAGACTGCATATTGGACTCAGATTCAGGAGACCCAGGTGCTGGTTCCCACCCAGCCTGAAATCGCACTGGGCCAGTCACCGACTCTCACCTAACGCACCTCGCACGGGTGTCGTGAGGATGACATGGAGGGAAGGAGGACCAGGTAAGTGATCTCCTACCTTCTTGGACTGTGGGCATACCTGGAAATGTGATCAACTGCAGTGGGCACCCTCAGAAAATGCCCAAATGGTGGGTCCCTTTTTTTGGGCTCCTGCCCTTTAGTATCTACAGAACTTCGTCTGCATCTTATTCAGAACAAATTGTACAGCTACTCTTCTCTGAAACACACACTTTGGCTATGGCAAGTAGAAGCTTCTTCGGGGAGGAGGTTGTTATACAGATAATTTTCCACTGGAACAGCCTTTAATATGCATTGGCGCACATGCACTTGTAATTTATACGATGGCACTTTTTAAATACTTGAAAGGCTGCTACATAGAGGAGGGCCAGGAGCTCTTCTCAACCATACCTGAATGCAGGATGTGGAATAACGGGCTCAGGTTCTAGCTTGACATGAGGAAAAACTTCCTGACCGTTGGAGCAGTACAGGAATGGAGCCCATGTCCTAGGGAGTTGGAGTTGAATGCTGGAGGCATCCAAGCTGCAGCTGGACAGCCCTCTGAGAGGGAGGGTTGAACTTGGAGTTCAGCAGGAGGTTGGACCCAATGGCCTTCCAGCCCCTTCCAACTCTACTGTTCCATGATTCTTAGAATTATTTACCTCCTTCGTGGAAATTAACCAACAGGGAGCTGTAACTGATTCTGCACACCCCTTTGATGGCTGAACAACTAGTATGTCAACACTGGAGGATAACCGCTACCCTCTTATAGTGCAACGGGTTGAGGACCTTATGACCCTTTTGACAGATGAATGGGCGACGTATTGATGCCAGTTGCATATGAATCAGGATAGTTGGTTTGTTTTTACTGAAATCTGTTTATAATGGCTGGAAATGTGTCTCCATCAGCCTCCTTTGCTATCCTCAGCTAGAAACCATGGACACCTTTTAGTGCTCATCAGTGGTACCTTCTCAAATTGGATGGAGGTAACTAGTGGGGTGCCAAAGGGTTGAGTCCTGGGCCCAGTGCTCTTCAACATCTTTATTAATTATTTAGATGAGGAAGTACAAGGAAAGATGATCAAATCCGCAGATGATACAACACTGGGTGGAATAGCAAACACCCTAGAAGACAGAATGGAGATCCAGGGTGATCTTGATAAACTTGAACACTGGGCTGAAAGCAACAGAATGAGATTCAATAAGGACAAGTGCCAAGTCCTCCACCTAGGAAAAAGAAACCAAATGCATCAATACAAGATGAGGAACACGTGACTCAACAGAACTGAAAAAGAAAACGGTATCGGAGTAATTGTGGACAATAGGCTAAATATGAGCCAACAATGCAACGCAGCCACCAAAAGGGCAAATGCTATTTTGGGATGCAAAATTACTTCCAAATCACGAGAAGTAGTAGTTCCTCTATATTCCTCACTTGTCAGACCTCACCTGGAATACTGTGTCCAGTTCTGGGCACCAAGAAAGATGCGGGTAAATTAGAAAGTGTCCAGAGGAGGGTAACAAAAATGATCCAGGGTTTGAAACGCTGCCCTGAGAGGAGACACTGAGAGAACTGGGCATGTTCAGCCTGGAGAAGATTGAGGGGGGACATGGTATCCCTCTGTAAGAACCTCAAAGGCTGCCACAAAGAGGGAGGTCAAGACCTCTTCTTGCTGATGCCAGAGTGCAGGACACGGAATTATCAGTTCAAGTTGTGGCAACCCAGATTCAGGCTGGGCGTCAGGAAAAGCTTCCTTCCCTGTCAGAGCAATACAGCAGTGGAACCAGCTGCCTGGAGAGGTGGACAGGGCTCTTCCACACGGGCTCTTCCACACGAGACGTCCAAAAAGAAATTGGACAGCCAGCTGAGTGGGATGGTGTGACTTGTGTCCTGAAACTGCAGGGGGTTGGGCTTGATGGCCTTCATGGCCCCTTCCAGCTCTACTATTCTATAATTCTATGAAACCAGGGTGAAAAGGTCCAAAGTTTGCATTGGAGACCGCTTCCTGGGCAACATCAGAGTGTGTCCACACTGCCAGGGCATTGGGTACCCCTGAGTTTCGGCTCCCTCCAGCACCAGCGCCACCTTTCCTTCCCCACATCAAGCCATTGAGCAAACGCAGTTGCCTGAACGTGGCCACAGACCTCCACATGGTCAGGAATCTAGGTTCCTGATCACGTGGATCTCTGAAACTACCTTCAGGTGGGCAGCCGCCGAGCTCTTGCAGTCCCTGCCTGCCAACATGTGGTGGTCACAGCTGGAGGAGGCAGCGTGGGCCCCGCATTGCTCTCTCCCTTCAGACTCACAAGAACAGAATACCTAAAGTGAGTGAACATCTCCCAAGCTTTGCTAAATTAATTTAGCATTTCTAATGGGAGAGGAAACAGCAGGTTAGATTCAGGCCTATTGTTACTGTCACAAGATAATTGTTCTGGAAGATACACAGCTGCCTAAAAACAGGACGTGTTCTTTCTCCAGTCGGCCTGCATATCCGACTGCTGCCGTGCTCCTGGATCTCTGGTACGTTTCCTTCCCAGCATTTGCCCCCAGCTCTTTTCACTGGAAGGCCAAGGCTCCAATGACAGTCTGTTGGTTTATTTTTCAGATTCACCTGCTGCTTTTCCCAGAGCTATCAAAGTGGTGGTCCTAAAATACAATGGCATCCGACGGAAAGCCCTCTGAATGGACCATCTATTCACATATATACCCACCTGCCCATTAAGATCTGGGCAGGAGGTCCTTCTACAAGAGCCATCCCTTAGGGGGAAAGAGGGATGGTAAATCGAAGAAGGGCCTTCTCAGCAGCTGCCCCTCAACCATGGAACATGCTCTCCAAAGAAATTCACCTGGCACCAACCTTGTTCTCATTTTGGCACCAGGCAAAGATGTTTCTTTTCTCAGAATATTTTCAAGGAAAGTCTTAAATTGTTATTTATTTTGACAGCTGTTGTTCTGCCTACTAGGTATCATTGCAACATCCATTTTTAATTTTGATTTTAGTGGATTTTATTGTTGATTTTAGTCATTTACTGTAAGCTGCCTAGAGGATCCACCTGGATTACTGGGCAGCATTCAGACGAACAAAGTGCCTGTCAAAGACAGCTCCATCCATTCAGCTCTTCCACAGCAGAGCTTCCTTTACGGAGCCCATCCATCTTCCAGCTGGTCTTCCTTTCCATCTTCTGCCTTTGACTTTCCCTAACAAGACCGTCTTCTCCAAGGAGTCTCCCCTTCTCATGGCGTGCGATGCAAACCAGTTCCGATCAACCAGACACTTTGCTATGGACCGCAACCTATACCCAGCTGGGCCATGCTTTCGGGAAGGCCACGCGAAGAGTTGTTTTAAGAAGGAGGCCGCCGGAGCACGTGGTCCCTTCGGAAGTGCCCTCTCTGACGAAGGCAGACATCAGGCAGGGCCAGGAGAGCTGTGACCTTCCCTTATTTCTGCTCTGCATCTGAATCCGACCTTCCTTCCATCACGGAATGCAGCCTGTCCCGCGTGAGGCGACCTCCCATCTGTCCAACAACCTTTCAGCAACCGCCTTTCTCTAAAGAGACTCGCGGCGCCTTCCAGCGGGGCTTGAGTGTGCAGCCGCATGCAACACTGGTGCAAGCTGTAGGACTTTTCCTAGCCTAGGATGGGGCCCTAAAACAGACAAACAAACACTGAAAACAAGTTAAAACCACTAGAAGATGCTGAGAAACAGCTCCGTAGCAGGCTGTTTATTATTGCTTCCATCTCTGATCCACCTTTCTTTTTCTTTCTTTCTTTCTTTCTCTCTCTCTCTCTCTCTCTCTCTCCTTCCTTCCTTCCTTCCTTCCTTCCTGTGTCTGTCTGTCTGTCTGTCTGTCTTTCCTTCCTTCCTTCCTTCTTTCTTTCCTTCCTTCCTCCTTTCTTTCCTTCCTTCCTTCTTTCTTTCCTCCTTCCTTCTTTCCTTCCTTCCTTCCTTCTTTCTTTCCTCCTTCCTTCCTTCCTTCCTTCCTTCCTTCCTTCCTTCCTTCCTTCCTTCCTTCCTTCCTTCCTTCCTTCTCCCCCGCTCCCCTCTTTCTCCCTTTCTGGAGCTGGCGATGCAGCGGCACAGGGCCCCGCGTCCCCCTCCCGGGCCCAGGGCAGCGCCAGGCGCGGGCGGGCCGAGGCGGGCCGTCGGGGCGGGCCGGCCGCGCGCCTGGCTGCCGCCTCTGCCCAATCCGCGAGCCGCGGAGGGCGCGCCTCATGCATATGCAAAGCGCCGAGCTCGCCCCGCCCCCGCCCCCCCTCCCAGGCGCCTGGCCATGAAGGCGGCAGCCGAGCAGCTGGCGGCGGGATGCGGAGGACCAGCGGCGCGCTCCTCGCGGGCGCCGTGAGGATGCTGCCCGGCTGAGCGGACGCTGGGCGCCCAGGTAAGGCCGGCCGCGGGCCTCGGCGCCCCTGCCCGCGCGGAGCGGGGAGCCCGGGCGGCGGCCCAGCGGGGCACCTGGGCGCGGGGGCTCGTCCCAGGTCGCCGTGCCCGGGCGCGGCCGGGGTGCGGGGACAATGGCGGGGCGCCGTCCTTGGCGGCCGGGGCGCCCCGGCGTGCGGGGGCCGGCAGGCCCGGCTGGGGGGGGGGGGCCGGCCAGCCCCCCCCCCCCCCCCGCCCCCCCCGGCCCCCGGAGTAACGGAGGCGGCCGCCAGGTCGGCACGTTCTTCTTGAGGCGAAGGGACGTCGCGCCGACCTGCGGCTGCAGCTGCGGCTCCTGCCTGCCGCTGTCTTTGTTCGGGGATTTGTCTCGCCTCCCTCCCCTCCGCTTTCTGGTGCAAAGCTCAGATTTCCCTCAATTCGCCTCTTTGATTTCATTCATTTCTCTCTGGGTCAGCAGCCTTGTGG